ATGATTTGGCATCCCACTGGTATGTGTCAAAAAGAAACTTGGCCTTGCACATGATCCACAGGACGTATTCTGTAGTGGATCTCAGTAAAATGGGAGCTGATGCTCCCTTTGTTTCTGTTGCACTAGCTTGAGCTCCTTAAATCCCTTGATTATCTGAACCAACTTTATTATCTAATAGGAAGCTCACCTAGCAAAAATGTGAGTAATTTCTGCCAGATTAGTATTGGATCAGTTAATTAACCCAAGGATCAGAGGGGTGTAAAGAGAGATGGGGGTGAGGGAGGAGAGGACCACTTTCGACACAGTAAGCTTCTTAGGTGGCTTCATTCAAGTCTGATTTATGTTTCAGTTTGCACACTCTAATGAACGCAGATTGAAGATGTTTTCTAGCAAAATAGCAGTCTGAAGTGATGAACAAAAGCTTGCTTGTCACCTGTGCAAGTAGTAGTCATGTGCAAATTCTCAAACTTTCTAGAAATCTTTAAACTGAGATCAAGAAACTACAGACCTCAAGAAACTACAGTTTTACCACTTGAAGTCCAGAGAACAGAACTTTCTCAAAAGTGGGAAAAGGGTTTCTGGAATCTTTTTCTACCATTGTGACTTGACTTCTGACAGGCTTTTCCATAGTAAGGGCATTAATAAACAATGTGCCTGTTAACAGATTTGAGAGCAATAGTGTATAAAAACTGTTAAACTATGTGAGAAGGATAAGCTGTTGTAGTAAAGAGAAGTATACTGCATTTACTAGAGCAGGTTTCACTGCAGTTTTCTCTGTAACAAGGCCTTTGGCTATGTGATCTGACTTTTTTTGACTGTATTCACGGAACAAATCCTTGTACTAATGTAAACTTTTTTAAACTTTTGTGCCATTGCTATAAGAGAGTGAGATTTTAATGTTAAAATAAACTTATTTATTTGATGGGTACTGTGCAATTGGGCTCTTAGGTTTCTTGCTCCTGTTTGCTCTGGTGCTCTAAGTCTTGGTTTTGGCATTAAACCTTTCTATCCCTACCAAAGCACACTCTGAAATTCTTCTTTAGATGATGGTCTGTCCCTGGAAGTGTGTTGCCTGGAACCCTGTACAAAGTGGTATAATTAAGTCTGATTTCTACCTCTTTCTTTCACCTTCTTGTCTATCACTGTCACCACAAAAGAATCTGGAAAACTTCTCAAAGTGAATATGGATGAACAAGTAAAACTGTTTTCTTCTGGCCATTGTCACTTGTCCTTCAGATTCAGTTTATTCTCTGGTACAATTATTCAACTCAGGATGTGTTTATGCTTCTGCTGTATAATTTCCATCTCAGTATGTATCTGTACTATGTTTGTTGGTAGATTTAACGCTCTATGAATTTGCAAAGGGGGTAGGATTAAAATTGGAAGGATTATTTGGCATTTCCATAGAACTGAGTGTCCAGACCCTCTAGACTGTAAGTATACAGAAGCCATGATGTCTGATTTGTATGAAAGACTGATTCTACGCATTGCTGCTTATGTACAGCAGAAGAATAACAGCTGATGATTGCAACAAGGTTGCTTGTTACAAGTGAATGAGGGTTTTTATTTAAAGATACTCTAAAATGCTCTAAAGACTTCATAGAATTATTTAGTCAAAATTTGAGACTGCTTTTAAAATAAATTGAGTAAATTAGATGACATAAAAGAACATCTGAAACATCAGCCAAGTGAAAATTCTTTTGGCCAATGATCTAGAAAGTACAAAGGCAAAAATTATTGTGGAAGCACTTGGTTCAGGATACACCATCCCTCATTGAAAGTGGGAGTATCAGAGCTTTTTTCTGGGCTTTCATTTCTTGCACGGTCTTAGGCAAGTGAGATTATTTACCCAATGTGTTCCTCATTTTAAAGTATGGTTCTGTGGGCAGACCTTAGAAATAGTTGAAAACGGGTCCTAAAGCGTATGCTTACTTATGATGTTATGTTCTAGAATTATGCTTGAATTTCTGATATAATCAGCCAAAGGAGAGAGAATATGGGAATCCTAAGTTAGGAGGGAACTTGTCACAGTGGAAATTTTACAACAATATGCCTTCTAAACAGAAAGTGGTATTTTTTTCCCTTCAGTCATTGTCTGAAGAATTGAAGGTCAATAGACTCCTTCAGATTTCCAAATGAAAACTGGCATTGGTGTTGCACTCCCAACTATAGATTTCCAGCTTCAAAGAAGCACAGTTTACTGTTCTTTCTAATGGGATGTTACAGGAGGGAGTTGAGAGAGGATGGACGTTCCAGAACAGACCTCATTTTGCCTCCTTAGCAAGAAAAGGCCTAAGAAGCTGAGCTTTAGTTTTTTTCCTTGAATGCTAATTTTGCAGTTTAATGGCAGGAAGGAGATAATAAAATCAATTCCATTTGCTGGCAGTAATCTGGACTGTATACATGATATGAATTCTTTTTATCACTAGAAGAAGCTCAGTAATAATTTGTTTGTAGGCATATTGCCAAAATGCAGAGATTTTGGACTAGTTCAGAAATAGCTATGCTCTTTGAGCTTTACAGTCTGTTCAAATTTAAACCTTCCCATCATTCTAGAAATGGGAGTATGTGGAGAGGGGGAAATGAACATTTTTTTGGCTTTGAGTCACTGGGCAGACTGCAATGAATACAGGCTTTGATTCTGTAAGGGACCTTTTTTCCGTCAGTCCACTCAGTTTTGTAAATTGAGGATTACTAACTTGTTCACCCCATTCCAGCTGGTCATGGTGTGCTGGGGGAGGGAATTCTAGGGTAGCTAAGAGGCATAGCAGTGCTTCTTCTATCAAGTACATTGGAACTTAAACACCAGTCTTGTTTTTCTGTAAGGCGTGTTCTTGGAAACTGAAGATTTCTTTGGTTTGTAAGATCATGCAGACAATCATGAGCATCTTATCCAGACCCTCATGGCAGGGGGCTTGGACTAGATGATCTTTAAAGGTCCCTTCCAACCCAAACCATTCTATGTTTCTGTGACCTTGAGTTAATTATTTATAATATTGAAAAATGAGAATCCTAACCAGAGAGATCCATTAGTAGAAAAAGCCAGTAAAATTGATATATAATAATGGAAATAATGTCAGTGAATGTTGTTGAGTCAGAATGAAACCAAATTTGTTTTTTATTAATATGCTTTCTGGTCCAACAGGACATGTGCCTATTTTAGAAGGATATTAAACCTCTTTACATCTTGATGTTGCCTGATGCCTTTCTTAATAGAATCTTAATAGAATTAATGGGATAATCTAGGCAGTGAGAGTGTATTTAATACTGTCTTGTACTGCTGTAGGATCTGGCTAGAGCTGATCAATATTTGTATCAATCATCTGCTATAAAATGTGAAATCATTGTGCAGACTTAGTCAGAGGGGGTATTGACTAGAACAATAAATGAAGACAAGTAGACAGTACAAGGGGCATGGATTATGTACCAAGATTCATTTAGTATATCAAGTTGTCCTACTGTGGACAAATGCGAAGTCATACATAAAATGTGAGGGATGTATACTATGTATTACATAGCAGAGATCTGTATTCTGGGTAAGCAAAATTGGGTCAAGAACTATGTGGTGGGAGGACCTCTTTGAAAGATGAAGCTTCAGTGGCTACTGCAAGCCTTGGGTACATGGCTCACTACAGTTTGGAAGAAGTCTCATTTATTACAAAATGAAAGTTTTAAGCAGCTTGTTCAGTTAACTTGTTCATGGAAATAGTTAATAAGGCCTTACTCTAAGAAGAGAGCTGTAACGTGGGATCTCTGACTCAAAGTTCAGGACATTAACCTGAACATTACTGATAATAATTCATAGATAAAGTGTGTGAGGCTTATATACTAGATTCTCAGTCACTTTGGATCGCGTTATTGATAAGTAATCTTGATTTTAAAGTTGTTAACCTTGATATGGGACTAGGAAAGAAGAAAAATGTTGTGGCTTGTAATATGGAGGAGGCCAGTCCCCATACAGATCGTGGGGCTTTCTTGGCTTGGTTATGAGGTGTGTGGCAGTTTTCTGCGTCAAGACTGAAGGGTACAAAAGGCTCATTCTCTCTTTTCTAGCTTTCTCAAACTCGTTTACCTTGGAAGCTGAAGCACTGAATGGAGCCATGAGCATTGTAGTAAGCAAACAGGAGTGTAGAACTTTTGTGGGCCCCCTGCTTTTTTCCTAAATGGAAAGCTAGAGTGTATTGTAATATGTAGATGATGTGAAAGTCAACAGAGGGTAGAAAACTACCAAACTTCGTTCCTGTAAAGTTATCAGTGGTGCGTACCAGCTGAATATCCAAGCTGTGGGGTTTTTTCTTGTTTTCATAATTCTCTTGGTACACCTTGGAGCTATGGATGTTTCTCTTTATTTGAATTTTGCTTAAAATTCTGATGCCTGTTACTGCTTTTCTTTGATAACTTGCCTTTGTCTAACTGGCAAAAGTTTCATACTAGTTTCTGAAATACCTTGAAAGTCAAACAAGAGAGTAAATGTCCGTTCCTGGATTATGAACTGAACAGAAGTCAGTTAAAAGGAATAGATCTTCAGATTTGAACTAAAAGTTGAGGCGAAACATTTATAACAAGGTAAATGGGTTCCTCTCCTTGGCTTGCCTTTTATTATCTTAAAATGCCAGATATGTTATAGAGGCATTAAGGCAGGCATAGTGACATTGAAACATAAAATAGGAAGTAAACCTTCCCTAGAGGTGGGTACGCTGCAAGCCTCAGACTCCATATCTGGGCTTTAATGAAGCGTAACTTACAGAATAACACTTCTTTCCTCGAAACCTGGTGAAAACATGTGCAAAATGGATTAGACATCTGAGTTGTTCTCAGATACCTAAGAACGTAATAATTTTTTTGCTGGTTCTTTTGAACTCCTTCCTCAGTGCCGTATGAGGAAAGAAGACTACTTTATTTGCCAAGACCTCAAATCATAGTTTTGTATGCAAAACAACATCATCTTTCTCTGTTCATCTTTCTACAAAGCATTTTCTCTATTTTTTTTTCCCTCCCAGTGTTCTGAGGATTATAAACACAATGATGAGTCACCTCAAGAAGACGAAGGGTTTATGGGTATGTCACCTCTTCTACAAGCCCACCATGCTATGGAGAGAATGGAAGAATTTGTGTGTAAGGTAAGGGCATGTGAAAACTGCTGAAGTAGTTTCTGTTTTTAGGAGGGTCCAGTGGGCAGCAGACTATACCTGCAGCAGCTATGCTACTAATGTGAGGGAGAGCAGGTACCTGCCATACCTGAATGGGCATCTCTTGTTATAACTAGTAACACTACAGCTTCTCAAGATCTCAGTCAGTCATAAATGAATAAATTGTAAAGTACAGTACTATAGATATTACAAATGAGACTCTAAAGCTGATCATGCAACTGAGGAGTCTCTATTGAGAAACACCCATGAGTGCAAAGCAGAATAAAAGCCTTCTGGATGAAGGCACTTTCATTTACAAGGTCATTTTTTTCCCAGGTTTTTTCAGACTTGCAAATATTTTGCTTTTCCAGCACCATTTGCATCCATTGTGGAATAAGCTTTGTCTCTTACTTGAAAAGAAAACACGGCTGCATGAAAACTGTAACTAAGTAAATCCATTGTAGATTTTTGCAATTGCTGACCTTGGATCATTTTTGCGACTTTTTAGAGCCATGGGGCTATATCAGTCTCTGACCCTCCTTTCTTGGTGAAAGGAGTGCTGCCCTTGTTCCTGCTGGTTTTATGAACTATTCTTTGATGTTTTTACACAGGGACCCTAGTTACTTGGTCGTCTTTTGTGTAGCGGTTGTTTTGTTGTTTGTTTGGTTTTGTTGTTTTTTTTTTTTAAAAAAAAAAACCTATGGATCTTCCCCCTTCTAGATGTTCTGTAGGGTGGATTGTGTCAAATGTACTCCCTCCTGCTGTTCCTACCTCAATTAAACTTTTTGGTTCGTGAAGTAAACCGGTTATTTGCTTATTTAATGTATTTAAGAACCCAGTCTTTAACTGGGTTGGTTATTCTGATTAGATTTCTTTTGCTTCCATGAAGGAGTGTGGAGAATTGATTTAAAAACTCTGGGCTCTTGTTGAAACTGAAATAAGAATGTAGCTTTTTAAACTTAGTGTTTCAGGATTCTTCAGGCTCGCTCCTGTATTACTAGCCAGACGACCAATCCAAGGAACACTGCAGAAACAACCCCGGTACATAAAGTAATTCCCTGCTACCCCGTTGCTTGGCAGTGCTGCTTCTGACACCAAACTGAAGACTACATGTATCATATGTTACTGAAGCAGTGCTAAGAACACCTGTGCACACTTTCTTTCATTTGGAACCAGCTGCAAGAATAGATTGTGCATATATGCTTTCTCTCCCTTTAAAGAAGAAATCTGGTGGAATTGAGTGTCATGGATCTGTTGCCTTAACTGATCTGTCACCATTTGTTTTGGGAGTGTGAGAGCATTTTTCTTCCAACCTGGATAAGGGATTGGACACTTCTCACTGGACTCTTGCCACTTCATGCTTTCTGGCCCATATTAGTGCTGATGAGTAGCTTTTTTGCTAGACTGCTGCAAATGTAGCAGATATATAGTCAGATTGGCTTGTGGTTGGAAGAAGAGGCTTTTAGTTATTTATTTCTTGGAGGGAACTAGGTGTAGGCTTCTTCAATTAAGTAGAAAGGATGATCTGTGGAAAAAACAGAACATGGAAATGAATTAAATGCTTCCCTTTGTTAGCAGTAAAAAAAGTCCAGTAACTTTCCTGTTCAGTGAAATGCTGAAGTGTTTCTTTCTGTGGTGGTGCAGCTCAACTTCATAATGATACTGTTTTGAATAGGGAACTTAAGCATTATAGTTCAGGTGTAAAGCCTTTTTCCCAGAGATGTCCCATCAACCCTTTTCTGTTTACCGTAGTCATAGATTAACTAACACTTTTACTAATAGGGGTTTTCTGACTTTTACCATACATAAGTGGAACTCAATTCCCTGCATTTAACTAAAATCTTCTAACTTCTAGGTATGGGAGGGCCGATGGAGAGTCATTCCCCATGATGTTCTGCCTGACTGGCTAAAGGACAATGACTACCTGTTGCATGGACACAGACCACCCATGCCTTCCTTCCGGGCTTGTTTCAAGAGTATCTTCAGAATACATACAGAGACTGGTAACATCTGGACACATCTTCTAGGTATTTTCAGCTTGCCCTAATGCTAATAGGCTTCATTGCTGTCTTTCTTTGAGACCAAGGTATAAAGGGGTGTGGGGTGGTCAGCATTATCATTCCACTAGTAACCTGTTAAATTAACAGGTTGGTATCCCTCTCCTAATTTTATCCCACCAGGGTTGGATGGGACTTCCTTAATTATGGCATTCAATACAAATGAATGAATTAAATTCATAATTGTTAATAAATTACTGGTAGAAGTTCTTTTTTTTCCAGGTGTGTAGGTGTTAATTGAGATCACACTTCTTGCCACAAGAACATGCTTCAGTTGCAGCTTGTATGAATGGTTTTCAGCTTGCAAGGAGCCTTAAAGGGAAAGGGTTTCTTTGAACTAAGCCCTTCTCTTTTTACATTTTGCAACAGATTTTTTAAATTGTTCTAGAATGTCCAACTAGTGTCAGGCATCCTGCAAAACAAGTAAAAATAGAGTCCATGCAAGTCTGTATTGCATCAGTCCGAGACAGAAATGTGGTTGGAATGCATAACTGAAGTAGGGCAGTACTTTATTCTGCATGTGTGCTGCTGGTTGTCATGCAGCTCCTATGTTTAGTGCTCCTGTACATTAAAGTCATGCTTTTAGAAAGAAAAGCTTTCGGTATGCATGAACTTGACACCTTTCTGCCTTATTGTTTTTCAGGATGCGTGTTCTTCCTTTGTCTGGGAATCTTCTACATGTTCCGGCCAAACATGTCCTTTGTAGCACCTGTGCAGGAGAAAGTGGTTGTTGGATTGTTTTTCTTGGGAGCCATACTCTGCCTCTCCTTCTCATGGCTCTTCCACACAGTTTATTGCCACTCAGAAGGTGTTTCCCGGCTCTTCTCCAAGTAAGTGCCTAAAGGACAGGGTAGGCCAAATAGGAAACAGGTGGGAAAACAGGGTTGGGATTTATGCTTGGAGCCCCAGTGTAGGAGTTGTTCACTGCATGTACTTTGGAACAGAGTGGAGCAGAGATTCAATGCAGCTTCTTCTAATTATTGTTTGTTTCAGCATGAGTTTTCATGCTGTCATTTTAGCCTTAAAACACTGTCATTTTCTGCTGTTTGGCAGACATGTGCATGCGTCTTGCTGCTGTAAGTAATATACCTAGAGCTTAGTTGCAGGACTTTGAATTTTTAATGCAACTGTCGCTTCTTGTCATTTAAACTATTCTGAGTAACTTTTAATCTTAAACTTACGTAAGACAGCTCCACAATGTGTATCAAGATGTCTTAGTCTTTTGGTTTTACTATGCTTTCTTTTTTGGCTGGGGCTGCTAAATATCTCATATTTCCTAAGATTATTCAACCTAGGATTGTGTAATCTGCAAGACCACCTCTAAAGTAACCCAGCAATTAAAATTCCCTACTGAAAAATTAACTCCATCTTTTGTAGGAGCATTTTGTCAGGGCGTGGTAAAAAGCAATGGCTGTAGGAATTCTTTATCTTCACTGGTGTATAGAAAAACAGTGTGATTGAAAAATTGCAACGTTATTCCCCAGTGGTCACTTAAGCTGATGCCTAACTAACTTATGCTTGTCAGATACTAAAGTGTTTGTGTTGGCTGTGCTCTCACAACATACTGTGTGCCCCTTTTTCTGTTCAGAGGACTCTTGTGCTGCTTTTTTTTCCTCATCAGAAGCTTAAATCTGAGTTTCCTTCAAAAACTTTGGTCTAAAGGCTACTGTATGTATTGCTGATGACTGTCCAAAAATGGCCTTACTAGATGTCTATCAAGGTAATCCATGACTGCGGGAGGGCATTGGTGGGACAGTTGGCATTGGGAAGTAAGTTGGAATAGTGAGAATGATTTTATTTTGCAGTAAGAAGTAGACAGGTGGTCCACTAAAGAATAGAGTGTTGTTACGAGGACTTCCAAAGGTTCACATTTCTTATCAAACTGATTTTTTTGTTTCCTTCTAGGCTGGATTATTCTGGTATTGCACTTCTCATAATGGGCAGCTTTGTACCATGGCTGTACTACTCCTTCTATTGCAACCCTCAGCCTTGCTTCATCTACTTGATTGTGATTTGTGTCCTGGGCATCGCAGCCATAATTGTCTCACAATGGGACATGTTTGCGACCCCTGAATACCGGGGTGTAAGGGCAGGTAAGACCTGATGTTAACTGTTTTGCTTCTTGACTGCCTTTCCTCCTTCCTACTTGCCACTTGGAAAAGCCATCTTGGGAAGATTTACGAGAGCTTAATTTTATGGAGAGCTAATATTCTTGGATTGGGAGCTTGATGGGTTTTCTTTCAGCATTTATTATAGCCAGCTGGATGCACAGATAAGGGCTGGTGCAAGTCCTGGAAGTGCATTCCTGAAATGGACAGTAACACATGCAGTAGGAAGGGTAGTGCAAAGTATTTCTAGCTATGCCTAGCAACTTTGCTCTCAAAAAATGACTGACTGCTTGGTGTGTGTATGGGTACTTCTACTGTTTGTCTTGGTTTTGTAATACTAGGCTTAGACACTAGCAAATCATTGAATGATTGAATTAGTCTGAATGGTTTGCCTAGATAAAATACATGTTCAAAACAAAGAGCCTAGTTTTTCTCTTCACGTGATCAAAAGAACAAAACCAGATTTGGTTTCACATTCTGAGATAGGAAGAAAGAGAAAGCTTTAGGGGGCAGCTATGAAATGTGCACACAGCTGGGCTGAATAGTGATATTTCTTGTTACTTAACCTGCACATGCTGTCTACAGTAAATCTAGATTTCCTGGACAAGCTATGGGTGTACCTTCAGAAAGTTCAGCATTCCAAACTTAAAATCTGTGGATGGAACATGTTTATTCCCTCCACGCACTTTTTTTTTTTTCACACAAGATTTCTGTACTTGCCACTAAAATCTAAAATCAACCATGTTCTCGTGTATGGCAGATCAGGTGAGCTGCAGATGCTACTTTTCTGTTTCCTAGGACTACTTGAACACTGTATGATAAATAATCTCTTTGTTGTCTCTCCTTGTTGTCTTACTTTTGAGAGATTATGGTAAAGTGAGACATAGTTCATGTAGTCTCAGTGCCCTCTACAGTCCAAGATGTGTAACTGGCTTAATGTACATTAAAGCTGGTGGACGCAATCAGTAAATGAAATATTTCGGTATCTGCTGGAATATATAACTAATTAGCTTCTGGTATATGAAGGAATTCTGTGCATTCTTTAAATTCCTTTCCAATAAAGCTCTTCTGGGGACCTCCAGCATCAAGAGTTGTCACCTTTCTGCTGCTTTGGCAAATATTGAGTTTTCCTTCCATAGCTTTTGTGTTTTCACTGTTTCCCTTTACCACCACTGTGTTCAAACCTGACTCTCCCACATTTTCTTTACCTCCCAGGAGTATTTCTAGGTCTGGGTCTTAGTGGGGTTATTCCCACCCTGCACTTTGTCATCTCTGAGGGGCTCCTGAAAGCAGCCACAATGGGGCAGATAGGCTGGCTGGCACTCATGGCATGCCTGTACATCACTGGTGCTGCACTATATGCTGCCCGCATCCCGGAGAGATTCTTCCCTGGCAAGTGTGACATCTGGGTGAGTCTACAGAATGACTGGATGAGGAGACCAACGTGAAAGCTGGTTCCCCTTGAGGCTGGAGGATGTTGTGTCAATGTTTTCTTATTGCAAGTATCAAACGGCTTCACTAGAAGCATAGGTCTTAAGGGGTCAAACAACTTTGGGCTCTCTGACCCCAGCTTACCTGGTGCCTCTCTTGCTGAGTTACCACAAACTGGCCAGTCTGAGGTAACTGCTGGTATGCAAATTCACCCCGCACATGTACTAGATAGCTTTAATAGATGGGTAAGCAGCTTTGCAAACCTTCGTGTGTGTGTTGAAGATCCTACAAACACACGTCTTGCCTTGCTTCTGCACATAATAGTGCATGGTTATTTCTCTGATGTTTGCTGTGTTCTTTGGGATCTTCACCATGTCTGGCTCCTCATCTTGTGCAGCAAGTGAAAGCACTGGGTAGAGATGGTAGATGTTGGAGGAATCTCTGGCCCAGGAGAAGGGAAAGTGGGGTGAGCAAGTGGGTGGGTGGGGGAAACTTGGTGTGAGGGAAAGGATCATGAAGACTGGAGGGGAAATATGTGGGGAAGATGTAGAGAAAGAAATCAGGTAGAGCAAGAGTAGAGATGAGAGGGAGGTAGAACTTTAGAAGGCCACAGTACTTCCACTAGGATAGTTCAAGGCCCCTGAAGAAGACTAGAAGTGATAATGAGGCCTGGGTGGTTTGAGTGGCTTTTGCACAGCACCAGTTTGCCAGGTTTGTTTAAATAGCTAAACAAAGCCTTGTTTAGATAATGAGCTAGGCTCCAAAAGCACTGGGGTACCACTAGTTCTTTTCCAAGCTTCCCATGGAGCCTGCAAATACATATTTGTAGAAATTTTTCAAGAGCATTATCCATATTGGTATGGCTTCCCTCAAATAAGGGCATGCTTTGTCACGTAGCTCCCTGATGGTTTTCATTCTGTTGTACTATAATCAATAGCATCCTGGGCATTCATTCAGAACATCTGGTTGTTTCTAGGTTTTAATATAATACCATTTTTTCCTGTTCTGTTTCTCTGTGGCAGAGAAAGAAAATAACGTTCAAAATCCACTTGGTAGAACTTATGCCTGTGACCAGAGCAGAGTTTGTACCTGTTAGCTGTATGAGAGAGCCCTTTCTATCAATAAATCACTGGTGTGTGTTGTGAAGGAACTAATTTTAAAAGTGTCCTGCTTAAGCCTTTTGCCCAAAGCTCTGAAATTATCCTTGTCCCTTCACAAAGATGTGCTATAGCATTTATGTAACATATTTGTTGAATGACCAGCTAGTTAAGATGATTGTGAAGGAAAGGGCTGTGTGTGTGTGTGTAGAATTTGATTATTTTGCTAATGATAGAAGAGGGATGGGCTTTAACACACAACTTGGAGAACTTTGCAGCTTGTGGTTTGAGGTACTGCTACGTGTTACTGTGTACTTCAGCTGAATGTGTGGCTTTTTTGGAGGCAGGGTAGCACTAGAACCCAAAGTACCCCAGCTGAACAGAAGTGTTTTCTTTTCCGCAGTTCCACTCCCATCAGCTGTTTCACGTCTTTGTAGTGGCTGGCGCATTTGTGCACTTCCACGGGGTTTCAAACCTCCAGGAGTTCCGTTTCACAGTTGGAGGAGGCTGCACGGAAGAAGATGGGATGCAGTAAAACCAGCCTTCAGCCCAAGATAGTAACCAAAATAGCACCGCAAGCGCGGTTGAAGCATACAGGCTAGCAAAATGAATACCTAAGAAGAATCCAAGTTTCAACTGATGGGGCATGGAGCTTCATGGGGATTCTGACTAACCAAGATAAATTCTATACCTCAAGCAATGGAATGAATCAATTTGAAGACCAGGAAATTCTGAAACCCTAACTTATTCTTGGGATCTACAGATTGAGCTACAGAGGACCCTTTCCAAATCGGCTTCTGTTCAATGCCATATTTATTTGTAGAATTGGGGAGGGATAGCTTAGCAGTTTCCTTTTTTTTTTTTTTTTTAAAAAAAAAATCAAGGTTAAATTTATATCCTCTTGGAGGGTTTGGGAGTTGATTTTAGATGCTCTTTTGGGAGAAAAAAATTGTAAATAAGATTTCTAACTTTCTGTTTAAATAAAATTTATATAAATGTTTTAAACAATGGGTGGGGGGAAAAGGGGTTTTGTAAAGAATGCAACATGCAAGTACCACACACTGTTTCAATTTTGCACAAAATAAATGATTGCAGGAGGACCAGGTAAAATTCCCAGGAGTGAAGCACGTTGGCCCTGCAGATTTTCCTGGTGGCTGGCATGCCCTGGGCAATGTGGGGTCCTGGCCAGCACTTGGAGTAGGTTCAGTACGTGTACACAAGGGTTGTGAAGGCTGAATTAATTACATCGTCATTCAGGTCACAGTGTTAGGAGGTTTATTTACTCAAGTAACTGGAAAGATACATCTGTGCCCTGCCTAAGTGTGTGGGACAGCTGCCTTCCAAGCTTGTGTGGCCTGTATAGTTTTGGATAGTGGATCTTACAGTTGTTTTGTTTCTCATCATATGAATTGGAGCATGATGGGATAACTGCACATGAAATGGCAAACAGTCCAACTCCATCAGTGCCTGCCTATACCCAAAGGCCCCCATTGAGTCGATGGTTGCCATTTGCAGGCCTGTTCTGTTTTGTCTGAACAAATGATGGTAATACATTTGTCAAAAGATAGTTGAGCATGTGAGGGGAAACAGAGGTGGGGTTAAGATGGACTGGAAAGAGGAAGCTGTGTGCTCCAGGACTTGGAGTTAAGAGCTACTGCAGACCTCAAGCACATTACCTTCTCATGTGTCAGACCATATGCCAAGGGAGTTTGCAGGTTTTTCTTTTTAAGAGGAAAAATCCACGATCAGCCCAATGCAGTTCCTTTTTTTTTTTTTTCTTAAAATTTTTTTTTCCTTAGGTCTGCTTCCCATCTGTGCTTTAGCAATGGGACTGCTGGTATTTCTTAAACCTAAAACTACGAGTTCAGTTGGATTGCTGTGGAGCAAATGCACCTCCTATATAAGGGGAGGCATATACCCTTCTCCTGTGTAATTGATGTAGCTTGATCTTTGGAGCCCAGTCAGAAGTCAGACTGAAGGAGAATCTTTGGAGTTGTAAGATGAGATTTGAACATTTTGTTTGTTATGGCACAGGTATTGCTTGGAGTGTTTAGTTGGAAATTCAGAGCAATTACCTCTCTCACAGATGAGTTAAACAGCTATGAAATGCTGTATTTCACAAGGAAGGAAGGTAAAGGGTGGGGTTTTTGTTGTGTGGGGTTTTTTGTTGTTGTTTGTTTGTTTTTTAAGACTCCTGCAAGTTTGAATTTTCATCCTTAAAGAGGAAAATGTGGATTGCAAAGATCTTCCTTGCATATCACGGAGTGTGTTTTGGGGAGTTACTTTGCCCAACGAAGTCAAGTAGAAGCAGAATGCCTTCCTAAAGTTGACTGGATATTAAGGCTTCACCCCACGAATGGAGTCTTTGTAAAGCTTCTGAGAGCAAGGTCAGCTGCAGAAAGAGGTGCTGCAGCAGAGTCTGTGAGCTTAGAGGGGTGTGTTCTCAGTAGGATCACTACACTGGATGCCTGTAGGGCCAGAAGTAGTTTATCACAGGTCTGTGTGGTACTAAAATGAAGTAAAGAGCAGTATTAACTTGGATGTAAGGGCTAATAGCACTGGCATCCTGGACAAAGATGTAGAGTTGCCTGGCAGTAAGTATACTGGTATCTGAGAAAAGTGTGGTACATATCAGAATCAGAGTTGTCTGTAAGGCGCTTTGGGATACCTCTGTAACAGTACCAGCAGAAGTGGCAGTCTCCATCCTGGATCATCCCACGTTCGCTCCTTGAAGGGTGATTGTAACCTGGTCCTACACAGCACAGAACTATTACAAAAACACAGTACTCCACCTGCTATTCTTAACCCAGTCAGTCTCTCCATTCAAGAAGTTTGTGTGTTCCAATAAAAACAACCTAGCTGTGCACTTTTCTGTAGCTCTTGCTGAGAACTCTTCCCAGGTTGGCACCTGAATGCCTTACTCTCAGCAGTCAGAGGCTTGCTTGCTCTGTGTGCAGGTTATTGCCATAGAATAGTTAGGACCTACAGCTTCTTTCCTTCCCCATTAAATAGTGGCCTTGTTCAGTATATTTCTTTTTAAAAATTGCTTACTGTTGGAAGCAATGAAGCACATTCTGGGGTTTTGATGGTTGGGGACTCTGGTGATGGTTCCATATAAGATGGGATCTTATTACTTGCTGTATTCTTAACTTCTGCTAATAAAAGAACCAAATGGATTATTGACTAGTTTGGGTCTTTCTGTGCTGTGTGTGAAGCTTGAAAGAGTCACTCTTGCTTTCTTCCTTCCCAACGCTTGCAGGCAACACTTTGTAGGTAAAAGACCTCTGCTGTTGCAGAAACCAAACCAATGCCTTAAGGCTTGTTTATGTACGGTTGAACCGATGCTTGCTGTATGCCTCCTCAAGCAAAAGCCAGTGGGTGGGGGAGTTCACGCAACAAACATTAGTTTTGCTATGTGGCATCCTCTGGATGTCTAGAATTCACATCAAGTATGTGCCTGGTCTTGCTGTAAGATTTCAATACTGTCTAGTGCATTTAAACATCACAGCAGACAAAGGTGTCCATGGACCGTGCTGCCTCTTAGTTACGGTGCTAATCTCCAGGGAAAATTTTTTTCCAAAGTCTAGACTTCTATTCGATGCCCACTGGAGTTGCCAGTTGTAGTACAGGGCTGATAGTGGTGTGGGGGAAGGAGGTGGTGTTAGGTGTGTCTGGTTGTATTGGGTTTGTGTGGCAAGGTTTTGGTAGCAGGGGGGCTACAGGGTGGCTTCTGTGAGAAGCTGCTAGAAGCTTCCCCTGTGTCTAACAGAGCCAACGCCAGCCGGCTCCGAGACGGACCTGCCACTGGCCAAGGCTGAGCCCATCAGTGATGGTGGTAGCGCTTCTGGGATAACAGATTTAAGAAGGGGGAAAAAAGTTCCTGTGGCACAGAAACTGCAGCCAGAGAGAAGAGTGAGAACATGTAAGAGAGACAACCCTGCAGACCCCCAGGTCAGTGAGGGAGGGCAGGAGGTGCTCCAGGTGCCGGAGCAGAGATTTCCCCTGCAGCCCATGGGGAAGACCATGGTGAGGCAGGTTGTCCCCCTGCAGCCCAGGGAGGTCCATGGTGGAGCAGATCTCCACCTGCAGCCCGGGGAGGACCCCATGCTGGAGCAGGTGGGTGCCTGAAGGAGGCTGTGACCCTGTGGGAAGCCCATGCTGGAGCAGCAGGGTCCTGGCAGGACCCACAGAGAGAGGAGCCCATGCTGGAGCAGGTTTTCTGGCAGGACTTGTGACCCTGCAGGGGACCCACGCTGGAGCAATCTCTTCCTGAAGGACTGCAGTGTGTGGAAGGACCCACGCTGGAGCAGTTCATGAAGAACTGCGGCCCATGAGAAGGACCCACGTTGGAGAAGTTTGTGGAGGACTGTCTCCTGTGGGAGGGACCCCACGCTGGAGCAGGGGAAGAGCGTTGAGGAGTCCTGCCCCTGAGGAGGAAGGAGCAGTAGAGACAACACGTGATGAACTGACCGCAACCCCCGTTCCCCATCCCCCTGTGCTGCTGGGGGGGGGTAAGTAGAGAATTTGGGAGTGAAGCTGTTCCCAGGAAGAAGGGAAGGGTGGGGGTAAGGTGTTTTAAGATTGGTTTTATTTCTCATTACCCTACTCTGGTTTGATTGGCAATAAATTAATTTTCCCCAAGTCAAGTCTGTTTTGCCCATGACAGTAATTGGTTGAGTGATCTCTCCCTGTCATTATCTTGACCCACGAGCCTTTTGTTATATTTTTCTCCCCTGTCCAGTTGAGGAGGGGGAGTGATAGAGCGACTGTGTGGCACTCAGCTGCTGGCTGGGGTTAAACCACAACACTGGTGCCACCACTTCATGAAGCTGCTTGTCTCAAGAATTCGACTGAGATACAATTATTCTGAACTTGCAGAGAATGAAAAGCCTGGGACAGCATGTATCCTGTCCCATGTCTGCTTGTTTTTGACCTCTGCCATATTTTAAAAGTAACTTGAGGACAAAGTGGGATCGATGTTACTGCTAAGTTTCATCTTTTGCTTTGGAAAGCTTAGCTAAACCCACACTGTAGAGTGAGGGTATAAAACTGCAGGGTGGTCTTGGGGCTGGCTAGCCTTTGTCAGGTCTCCCTCTTCATCCTCCAAGCCTCCATCTGAACCTAGGCTAGCTATAATTTCAAAGGTTATCTATTTTTGCATGTTTAGAGACACTAATTTTTAGTGGCTCTGTTCCAGTTCCTGGTCTTGCAGATTTTAGAGCAGACTGTATGTGTACTGGTCCCCTTCCTTGGTCCAAGGTTTAAAAGGGCTTTCTCACTGCAGCTTGGGTGCCAGGAGGTAACAGGCAGGCAAGGGAAAGGAACAAGCTGGCCAAGGAGTCAAACTGGGTCGAGCATGATGGAAGGAGTGGAAACTGTGATTTATGGACAGTATTGGAAAGCCAAAGGTAAAGTATTGTGGGGTGAGAGCTTGTAAGGAGAAAAATGGGCAGGAGGGGCTGAGGGTGCGAAGAACAAGAGCTGGTGGGGGGGAAAGAGGGTGGGTGTTGGAGACCTCGGTGGTTGTGGGCAAATTTTCAGGTGAGTTGAGATTGAGAAAGAGATGTCCAGGAGGCCTGGACTCAAATGTCTGATGTAGAGGAAATGCCTCCCAGCCTGTACCCATGTAAGGGATTGATTGTCTCCTCCTGGTATGCAGGCTTAGGGGTGGGAAGGAGTGGGTTTGGCTGGGGAGGGAGTGGGGCTGGTGCTGACCAGATCAGCCCTGTTCCTGGAGCGGGGCCTTCTGCTCCTTTGTCACTGTTCCTTGGCTGTCAGCAAACATCTGTGAACTGCCTGGGCAAGATATGCCTAATCCTCCTCTTGTGTTGGCTCACACTGAGTCTGGGCATCTACAGCTGTGCTGTTTATCAGTTACTTGACTCAAGATACATGTTTTACAGTGACTTGTAAGAGCCAACTCCAGTAAATGACCTGTGAGAGCTTGAGGTCTCAGGATGGATGTTTTGGTTTTTTTTTTTTTTTAAAAGGCAAAGCAAATTCAAGGAACGTGGAGAATGTTGGCATCGGATCACACGAATTACACCAGAAGTAGCTGCCACGTTTGAATATGAATTGGGTTTATTCTGTTTTCATAAAGCAGGGTGATGCTTAAAAGTTGCCTGGGCAGGCTAAAATTGTATGTTCTACCTCTTCTGCATGTAGTTGTGGCCATGCTTTGGCTTCTCCCAAGAACTGGTTTGCCGGCTCGGTCTTACTTCTGGCATTTCCAGGAGCTTCACCTTTGCCCTTCTCTCCTCTAGTAAAATTCATGTTTGACCAACAGAGCTATTCCTGTTTCTGAGCTGGGAGGTGTTTGCACTGGAGATTCACGATGATCTCGCTTACTAGCAGCTTCATCTCTATAGTGGTACAACTGGGCACAGAGGCTCTTCACAGTTGGCATAAAAGCTGAACCGGTCTAGTTGTAAATGAGATGGGAACATCATGGGCCTGGCAACGATGTGTTTCCTTAACAGAGGCAAATGACACCCAGCTCCAGTAGCTCTCTTTTGGTTTCATCTCTAACCATGCCAAACCTGTGCCTGTGGTTTGAGGTTTGCCTTAGTGCTGGCCGGAGCCGAGCTCCCCTAAACTGAAGAAGTTGTTCTCCGCGGCCGATGCCAGGCTGCAGGGCCAGAGCCGCCGGCTGTGGCAGAGGCAGGCTGCGGCAGCTCCCACTCGCAACAGGAGCAGCCGGGGCCGTGGGGCGGCAGCTGCTGCTGGGACGGAGAAGTGGGAAGCCATCGCTCGCGGGAGGGAGCAGCCGCTGCCACCACCTCCCTGCCTGCTGCCGGCCGCCGCGGCCAGCCCGGGGCTCTGCCCGGGCTCTGGCCCAGCTCCCCCGTCCCGCTGCCTGCAGGGCGGCCAGGCTGGGTTTGCTGCCTTTGCCAGGGAGCCTCCTGCCAGTTTTGAAAGCGATACTGTGCCCCTCAGAGCCGGGCAGGAGGAGGGTGACGGCAGGCTCCAGCCCCTGCTGCCGGGGGGGCCGGCTGCGTGGCGCCGAAGAAAGCCGCTGCTGGCTGAAATTTGGACCAACAAGAGCGGCTTGGGGCTTTGGCTAGTGTGCGACTTGCAGCATCGGCGTATTCGCCCCCGTGGGCACGGGGGCTTCCCCGGCAGCCCCTTCCCTGTCCCCTGAGAGGCCAGCCCCTGGTGCGACGGTGGCCTCCAGGAAGGCAGCCAGCCCTCTGCCGCCATCCCCGCAGCCTCTCCTCCAGGAGGGCCGAGGACGCGCCTGGGTGCATCCCTGGGCAACCCCGGTGCTGCTCCTCGTAATGCCGGCGGGAAGGACGGCGGCGGCTGCCCGGCCCTGGAGGAGCCAAACGGGGGCGTAAAGACGAGGCAGGGTGCGCAGCCCTCTCCTGCTGCCGGCGGGGCCTGCCTGGGGAAGGGCGGGGAGCCAGGGCTCCCAAAATTTGAGGCGGCAGCAGCAAGCAAAGCAGGAAGAGCTGATGAAATTTCCTGCGGGGCCCACGAGCTATTTACAGAAGAGACGTGTTTGGTGGCGTTCAAGTGGGGTAATTACAGTTTGCGTCACGGGCTGATGACGAGCTGTGTTGCTGCAGCTGATGTCATGGGACGTAATGACAGCGGTGTTTGCTGGCCGAGTGACAGAAGGTGTAAAGGCTCCTTTCAAGTGCAGGGCAGAGACCCAGAGAACAGCTGGCGCCGAGGGATGGGGGAGTTCCCCAGTGTCCGGCAGGGTCAAGAGCAGCAACCCCCTCCAGCAAGGGGCCAGCTGGTGATGGAGTCATTCAGCACATGGGAGTTTGGTGCTCCTTCCCCACTTGCTTTTGAAAAATTGCTTCGTGCAAAGTGTGTGTTGCATTTGGCTGTCCTCAGCCTCCCTCCCCTGCAAGCAGAGGCCTGTGAGAGCCCAGGGTTTCTGCGCTGAAAGTACCATTGGGTTTATTAGCAGAAAAAGCATCCTGGAAAATATCCGAGGAGCTCGAGTTTGAGAGGTGTGCGTAAAACCAAGCAAGACTGTGGTACCGGTCCTTCGCTGTGGCAGAGAAGGGCAGCCCCCCCTTAACACAGTTGGAGTGTGCGGCTCCTTGCTGTGACTGCTGCCATCCCCAGCCCAGGATGTGCCAGGCTTTTGCTAAGTATAAGCCAACTCGGGCCAGCCTGCTGAAAAGCTGCTGCTTTTGTGCCTGCTCCCAACTGCAAACAGCTGCTGTAAATCCAGGGCTGATTTTCCTACTGTTTTGTAGGATGAAGTCATCCCTGTCTGGCCATACTCGAAGGTCTAGTCATCCGTCTGCTCTGTCCCAAGGCATGAGTCAAGGGAGGGCACGTGTACGCGACGCTGTGCGAGGTGTGCGTCCCTGCCCATGGCTCAGACACCCTCAGAGCCCACCACAGCGTTCGGGAGGGATCCAGGGTTACCTCAGCCTGCGGTGGGGGGGTTCTGAAGCCTGTAAGGAGTGCAACAGAGAGATTTCAGGTCCCTTCCCAGCTCCCTCTCCACCTGCCTGGGAGGAAATCGGCTGCAGATTCAGGGCTTGTGAAGGCCCTGATTTGTGCAGCAGCCAGATGTGGCCAGGTGGGTCTGATGGCTGCAGAGCACTGCTTGTGACTTTTCTCCCATCATGTCTTGCCTTAACAGCATAAATCCCAATGCCTACAGTTTGCATGCTTACGGGAGTGGATGGGATCTTGCAGGGGGTACAGCTGTGATTTATAGGATGGCAGCAGGATGCTGCTCAGCTGGAAGTGAGAGACGGCTCCTCTCACAGCTGCTCCGCTGCTGGTCAGATCCTTTGCCCTCAGATCTCTGTTTGCTTTTGCTGACCTATTTTCATCTGCTGTGCCCAGCACATGGCTGAAGAAGTTGAGAGCTAAAGCAGCTGCTCTTCCTGGGGATTTTTCTCTCGCTGGAGTGCCATGAGCCGCCATCTCTGCCAGGCAAGCAGAGCACTGGAATTTGCTTAACCCCATGTTGGAGACCAGAAAAAGGTAGGTGTGCTTGGGGTCTACTTTGCTGGCAAACACCAAGCAAGCTGTTTGCCTTCCAAGGCTAAAACCATAACTCCTAGGTACCTGCTGTGGATCAGCAGCACCGTGGAAAGAAAAGGGCTGTGTTTGCCTCCTAATAATTGGCTAAGACAAACCTTGTGGGCGGAAGCAGGAGCTTCTGTAGCAAAACCGGGTGCCGCAGCATGTGTGTGCTGCCTTCCCTGGGGAGCAGCGGCATGGGCCCCTTGGGAGCTGCTGTGGCCAAGCACACCCACCCGGGTTTCGAGGGCAGCTGTGTGGGGGGCCCAGAGAAGCTCCCCTCTTCCTTGCTCTCTGCAGCAAGCCTGGGAGCAGGTCTATAAACCACACTCCCTCCCTGGGCGGTGAGGATTCCCCTCAGAGGGGTGCCTGGAACTGCCCAAATGGTACTGCTGGAGCTTCCCAGGAATGCTGGGGTCTCCTCCATCCTCCTGCACAGGACCTGGGTGAGGAGGGATGCCTAGGACATCCCTATGAAGCATTGAGTGCAAGTGTGGGCACACAGTGGGAGCAGGCGGTGCAGCCCAGGGAGGGGGCACAAGGAGATGTCTCCCCCACAGCCCTGCAGCCAGAGGCAGGGAGCTGTGCCGCAGCAGCGGGGCAGCCCCAGAGCATCCCTGGCTCAGATGGTGGGAGGCTGTGGGGTCATGCCTTACCCTCGCCCCCTTGCAGGGGCCACTCTCCTCTGGAGACACACCAGAGCAGCTCCTGGCTATTAGTTGCTGTCTGGTTTCACCCCCCCAGTCCCTGGCTGAAGCCCTGCAGCGTGGGCAGGAGGGGAGCTGTTTGCTGCGGGGCGTGAGGCACTCGAGGAGCAACTGGTGAGCGCTGGAGGAGGCAGCACGGGCTGGTGGGTTGGGATGTGATCTGTGGGACTGAGGCAACGCAGGCTGAGGCGAGTGCTTGGCATCTGCTGCCAGCCCCGGCAGGGCCCAGCTGAACTGACCAGCCGTGCCCACAGCCTGGCTCTTGCTGCCTGACAGATGCCCGGGGAGGCCCTGGCTACTCTGGGAACAGCTCAGCTCCTTTTGCTTTAGCTGGGTGTACCCCAGCACCGGCTGCACGGAGGCAGACATCCATCCTCCCGCTGCTCACTGCAGCTGCTCAAGGTGTCAGCGTGCAAACAGTGCAAGTGACTCCGCAGCCCAGTTCCCAGTGTGTGCTGGGGTTTTAAGTCAGGGCAAACCTTCACCCTTATTTTTTGGTTTAAGAAATAATCCGGTTCTCACCCCTGTCCTATTCCCTCCAGTTACAACCTACGCACAAACTTGCTGAGTCAACTAAACAAGGTATAATTCACATCTTCACTCTCTCCGTGCGGGTCTCTTTACAGGACCATGTTTATTGTGGATTAATGCACCTGAAATCAAACATGGTTCATATGCAGCAGGGCAATGTGTATTTAAGTATCTTTTTTAAGCTGAGCGGAGATGGGACTGCTAATCCTTTCTGACAGGGAGGTCACCCTTGAGAGTGGTGCCCCAGGAGGGCAGTCACCACGGGCAGGCGCAGGGAGCCGGGGGAGCTGTGCCAGCTGGCCCGGGATGCCCTGAGCCGGTGGCTCCTCCGTCTGCGAGCAGCTCCTGACTCCTCAGCCTTGACAGCAGCCGCTTTTCCCTCTGTGCTGCCTTCATCTTCCTCGGCTGCTTCTGGGTCTGATAAGGTCACTGCATCTGAAGCCTGGAAACCATCTCCACCTCCAGATTTACTTCCATTACCGCAGTCGTTCCTCTCCTCTTTGCTGTAACACCACCTCCAGCGAGGCAAAACCTGCCACAGCAGGAGCTGTAATGTCCTGAAATGTCCCCATCAGGACCTGGTTGTGACTGGTACTGTCCCTTTAGTGTTGAGTGACACTGGTGGCAAGAGGAGCCGGATCCGTACTGACCCTAGCACACATGGGGTGCGTTTGTGGGCTCCTGCTTGTGCGGAGAAGGGGACAGCGCTGCTGTGAGGATAAAGCCCTTTCCCATAAAACTGCCCTTTGCAGCAGCTGCATGTGGGTCTAACCCTGGTGGCGGTGGCTGTGGGAGTGGGTGGCTTGGTGGGCTCGGTGAGGAGCCCCGCAGCTCCACACGGCCAGCACACGTGGCGCGCAGTGCTGTGGGCAGTGCAGATGTCAGGCAGCGAGCGAGGAGAGTGTGGGCGCTTGCGCTGCAGGAGGTGACAGCTTGGTATGACGAGCCGCACAGCTCTCGGGGCACCTGGAGAGGTGCAGGGGGCTCCCAAAGTGGGCCACCTGGCAGAGGAGGCGAGGGCAAGGTTCTGCCCTGCTGGGCTGCTCCCTTGGTGCCACCACCATGGTGTACCCACGGGTGCTGGGGTGGCTACAGACGGGGATGGTGTAGAGCTCAAGGGGAGACCCCATTTCCATCTGTAGCCATTGGCTGTGGCATCCCTACCCCTGACATGTACCCTGCTGGCGCCAGCGCCGGGACCCCCACCCTGCTTCAGAGGTGACAGAGAGCTGTGGGCTGTAGCTGGCTGGATCGCAGCACACGCTGCATGGCCAAAGGCTCTTCTTCCCGTAGCTCCGGTAAAAACAGTGGCACAGCAACCAGGAGCACTTCTTGGCATCCCCATGAGTTGCTGGCACATACCTGCTGGCCAGGCCACCGCAGCTGTGTTTGCAGTCCCTCCACCCAAACCCTGTACCCACAGGTTTGGCAGGGAGAGGGGTTTCTGGGATGTAGTTTAGGGCTGCGATTAGCACCAAACATGACATGCTGAAGCTTAAGTATCTATTTAAAATATGCCATATATTTGGTTTTAACGAGATGGTATGGAGCAGTTCATACAAAAAAAAAAAAAAAAGGAAAAATGGGTGCTCCCCACCCATTGTCTGTAAAGCTCTGTGAGAAACGGCCCATGCCCACCAGCCAGGAACGCCAGGTTCAGGGCAGGGGGATGCTCGCCCTGGGACAACCAAGGGCAGCTTCAATGAGCAGGGCAGTGCTGCTCTGAGGGCAAAAGTGCCCATTTCTTAGCTGCTTCTGCAGTGAAACTATCAGGCAGTGGGAAACATACTCCCTCTTTTGGTGGGTCACACATAACCCCTTCCCAGAGGTAAGTCCACATCTAGACAAGAATCTGGATGCTGTGCTAGCAGTGTTAGGAAGGGTCTCCTTGGCAGAGCTGGCGTAGCTGCTGTTAACTAGCCAAGCTGTGCTACTTCCATCATCTGGTTGCGTGTTAAATTAGTGCAGTACAGGTTAGGCACCATGTCCTGCCCCTGGGGTCCCAGTCAAGGACCACCCCCAAGACCAAGAGTTGCTGCCTCCCTGCTGGGAACCACTAAGGGCCCTGTTCTGGCAGGGCTGTGCCTGGGCTGCCTCAGACTTGGGTGCTCAAAATCCTGGTGGCTCCCACTGAGGGACAGGCAGACAGCGTCCCCTGCCCCTCCTGCTCTCCTAAGGCCAGATCTGCCCCACCGAGCTCTCTGCCTCCTGGGGCCAACTACCCCAAAGTGGCTCCATGGGAGGCAGGGTGATGGTGAAATGCCAGCCGTGCCAATGACCTTGGCTGTCCTGGCTGTGAGCCGATGGCCAGGAGGAGCAGCTCAGTAGGTGCTGTGCCAGGAGCCGACCCTGCCGGTCCTTGCGCAGCCCTTTTGCCACAGCCTTTCGAGGAGGGAGCAGCTTCCACTGTCGGCACCACGCTGGACCTTGTGTTGAAGGATGCAGGATGCGCTGTGCCACATTGTTAATGCCTCATCTCCCCAGGGAGTTGCAGTGGGCATCCCAGAACAGCCTGTGCCCCCATTTCCTCCCCTTCCATCGCTCCGGCCAGTGGCAGCCCCGTCCTCCCGGGTCTCTGCCGCATAAGGCGCATTGCGGGCAGCATCACCGTTGCAGGCAGCATCACTGCAGGAGCAGCGCCAGGGGCAGGAAAAGCAGCGTCGGTGAGACAGAGATCTCAGCAGTGCCACCACAGTCTTGGGCATTTTCCTGGGAGATGAGAGAGAAGGCGTCAGCTTGCTTACTGCCAGGGTGGCTGCTGGCAGAGGGAAGGGAGCCTGCCCCTCGCCTTTGGAAGGGGGAGCAAAGCCTGTGGCCAAAAGGAAGGATCACCAGGGGAAAAGGAAGGGACTGCTTTGATGCCCGTGGGCCACAGTGGCCACCTGTGAGCTAGGAAGCCACTTATTTCCTTGGCTTTCACCATGCTCTGCCTCACACCCTGAAACCAATCCCTCAGCCTCAGAGGCTGCAGCAGGATCTGCTCCCGCCTGCATGTGCCTCCTGCAGCTCCTTCCAGAGTCCCCTACCCACAAGCAGGTCACTGTGCCTGCTCCTGGCCCCGCGGGGCAGGGTCAGGCAGCTGGGCTGCCTTGCACACTGTGCAAAGGTACCTGGACCAAACCCCTGCCAGCCCGGCAGACGGGAGAGCTGCCTGGCTGCACCAAGCCCAGGTCGCAAGGGCTCTTTACAGGAATCAGGGCTCTTCCAGCAGATGAAACCCAGCAACCCTGTGATGTCGCAGCTCGAGCCTTTCCCAGGTGTCACTAGTGTGACCGTCCTCCTGCTGGGAAGCCCCCTGGGGAGTCACACGTCTGTGTCTGGGTCCAGCCAGCATGACGGGCACGCAATGATACACACAGTGCAGGGGTGTAAGAAGAGGGGTGCATGGGTACAGGCATGCCCATGGTGAAACACAGCCGTGTGGTCTCCCTCCCTCCTGCTCTGCCCCGGGGGTACCTCAGGGTGAAATGCATGGCATGTGTCTGGCCGTCGCCTCAGCTTCTGGGACCGCATCCGTTCACACTTCACTGAAGTGTTATGTGCGAGGCTGTTAAGGACACTGGCAGCAGCAGGTAGTGAAAAGGGGGACGAGCACCACACAGACCCACGGGCCCCTGATGCAAGTCATCTAGGTGTAACTGCACAGCCTGGGAGACAGAGTTGGGAGGACAAGGGAAGGGCAGGTCACCCTGCATGGGCTGGAGATATCTCCAAGTGCTAGAAGGCAGGAAGGAATGATGGGCAGCTGAAAGTGGCCACAGTGCATGGAGAGGGCTCAGCTTCATGGTGACAAGCTGCACCACATTGCCGCCCTTACAAGGAGCAAGGGATGAGGATCCAGCAGGGATGAGTTACGGAATCACCTGGGAGCAGTGCTGGGGAGCCAGCCCAGTTGCACCCACCCCACCACTGACCCTTTCTTCTGGCCTGTCCCACCCTCACCCTTGTACAACGCATCTGACAGCCTGGCCAGTGGAGGTGGGCTTCCTCCTGGGGGGGCTGGACGGCAGAACCGTTACCTCCCCTCCACCACACCGCAACCCTGCCTGCTCCTTGTCTCTCCCCAGCTGTCCCACAAGTCGGGCCATGCCCCCACCCCTGTGGCAATTGCCCCGGGAGCATGTTTTCTACCCTAGCAAACATGGAGATCAAAGGGCCTGTGGAGCCATGCATCCTGGCTGCACATGGAAGGATATATTTGACCTCTTTTGCATCCAGCAGGACAGGTGGGAAGACACTGCAGTCGCAGACAGCATCCGTGATGAGGAGCAGCAGGTTACTGCTGGCAATCTGCTGTGCCACAAACATCCTGCAAGAAAAGACTGGGCGGGAGAAAGCACATCCCTCCTGCTGCAGCACCAGGGCAGCAGCCCCGGCATCACCTGGCCCACAGCAAAGAAATCCAAAGAAAACAGAGATCATTGGAAACTGGATGTCAGCAGAAAGCGGGAGAGACACAGCGAGCAGCGGTACGTATGGGGGAGGTGGCGTTAGCATACCTTTTTGGCCTCAGGAAACTCCAAACTGGCTGAGATTTACAACTCCATGCTAGACACAAAAGCCAAAATCAAACCCAAAACACCAACCAACAAACAAAACCCAACATAAGCCCTCCCAAAATGGGGCAGCATGTCATAGGACATGATACGTGAGAAGGCCGGGTTTCATTTGGAGGTGTGCCGATGCCCATTCCATGTATATTTAGGCATATGCTTATACAATGCAAGGACATATGTACTATGTGGTTCTGCAAGGAGCAGAGTTTTGCTAAATTTCACGTTACTGGAGTGAGAAATGGAGGATCCCAGTAGCATCACACGTTACATCAGTGTGATGGGACTGACCAACTGGTGCTTGGTCTTGCCTGCTGCCACAAAAACCATGCAGCTTCACTTTGCAGCCACAATTTCACCTGCCCCTTCCCCTCCCTGTCAGACAAGCAGACTACGGAAAAGGGCTGGTGACGAGCACAGGCACGTGCTGGTGGGGATGTCTCTAGATGTAAGTGTTTGCCCGAGGACGTGCACGTGAGGGCTTGCAGCAGCGCTGCCGCCCAGTTGTGCAGGTGGCAAAGGGCTTGCGTGGGCAGAGCAGGATGAGGGCAGGCACGTGTTTCGGCTGCGTGTAGGGCTTTGTGCATGAGTGTGTGTGCGCACATGCACGTGTGTGGGCAGCTCAGACGTGTCTCCGTGCTCACGAGGCTGCGTGTGCCTGTGACTGGGGGTTTGCGCACCGGCACGTGCATGTCTACGGCACCCCTGGGCGAGCACGGGGAGTGGCAGGGGATGCGTGTCCAAGCCTACGCATGCCAGTGTCACCGCAAGGCACTGTACATGTCTGGGCATCTCACCAGCCTGAGCCACCCCCCGCCCGATGCCTGGCAGGCATTGCCTGCCCTCTGCCAGCACAGAGGCTGCAGCCAGCCGAAGCAAGGCTGAGCTGCCCACGCTGCTGTCCTCCACTGCCTGCTGGCAGGCTGTCCTGCCGCCGGGCACCAGATGGCCGTACGGCCCTGGCAAAGAGTCTGCAGGCTGGCCTGGGGCTGCTGGGCATAGGGAAGGCCAGGGACGTCGGGCTTGTCATGCCTGTGCCAGTGGCAGGGCTGCGGCGCTGCAGCCAGTATGTGGCTCTGTGCACTCCCGGTCGGGCTAGCCACCTCTCAGCCAAGGGAGAGGGCTTAGAAATACTGGATTAGAAATACAGGTTTGTGAGGATGTGTCCCCTGCATCGGCCAACCTGACTGCGCCGGAGGACTGCCCTGTCTTCCTGGTTATTCACCACCTAGTTTCGCTGCCTTCAGGAATTTTTGTATTCACTTTTAGAGGTGTTGATGTCACACACTGCAGCATGACCGTTTCATTAGTATTCCTGGCTGATGACTGCTTTGGGAGCTTTGACAAGCAGATTTTAACCTATGCACAAATTCAGTAACCAGGATAGAGGTGCCCCATGCACCAATCTACAAGCCAAATTTTTGCCCAGGATGGAGCACCCAGCCTACCCTTACTCCACTGGGAACCACCTGGGCTTGTGAAACGTGACCGGGAAAGCCTGCACGCCTGAGTGGGCCGCTGGCTAACGCTCCACAGAACCTGTGTCGGGGTGTGTGTCTTTCCCGAACACCTGCATGGAAGATGCACAAGAGATGCGCCTGGGATCCAGAGGCTGCAACTCCACCTGTAACTATGAAGGAGCCGAGCAGGACCCAGCGGTGGCTGCTGCTGGTGCTGGCGAGGTGCTGCCTCCAGCAAGGAGGGGTCAGCCCCAGGCTGCATTGGTGGCTTAATGCACAAACAGGTCAGTTTGGGACACTCAGCTCCTCTGGGTCTGCCCAGATCTTACTGCACCTACACAATACCTTGTTGTCACCAAATCTGCAATCTCGTCTAAAACAATATTTGGCAAGGCCTGGTTTTCCTAAAGTCAGGCTGACTAGCGCAGGCTGTTTTCCTAACCTTTAAGTCTTTCCTGCAGTTGATCCAAGACTGCAGTCAGACTAGGTAGGATTGTTGTTTGGTTTTTTTTTTTAAGAGGGATGCCAGTCAGATCTGTTTGGACACTTCATGTTAGGAAAAGCTGGACCAGTGGAAATTCATCCTTCCGTCACCTTTCTGCATGGGATTGCTGATGGCGCTGTGCAACTGCTGAAAACAGCCTCTTTTCACAATGACTTTTCTGTAATTTTGGACTGTTCATTCTCTTAAAATGAAAACGGAAAATAAAAAAGTGGACCCGTGTTTTCATTTCTTTCAGTTTAACATTTCTTCCCCCCCGCCCCGCTTTTTTTTTCTGTAGAAAAACAGAAAAGAGGGAAAATAAAAAAAGGAAAAGGAAAGCCGAAAGCATTGCAAAAAGGAAAATTTTCTAAGGAGAAAACTTTTGCCAGAAACATGAAAAAACAGAAAAAGTTCCTTTCTGAAATCTGTGGAATGGAAAGATATATATATATATTTTAAATGTTCTTTCCCTCATTCTACAGCCAGTTCTGCTTATTAACAGATGGTTTTAAATTTTTTTCTCTTTTATTGAGAAGCAGTAACTTGGTCACTTCACCTCCTCATTGTCCAGCGTGGCTGTTTAGCTCTGCTCTGTGGCCAGAGCTGCGGATGGTGGCCATGCCATGGGCACAGCGGCAGGTGACTCTTCTCAGATTGCTGTTGTCACCGATGGGCTCTGTGACAAGGCTCGCGCGCCATCACGACCTGGGGACCCCCCAAATGAAAGGGAAGCTGAAATTCTTACTTTTGGCAATCTCCGCACTCGATCAGCCCATTGGTCTCCTTGATGGCCGGCTCGTACACAAAAACAGGGTACTCCGTGTCGCAGGGCTGCAAGATGTCGTGCTTCTTGTGCTTGTGAGCTGCGATGGTAAGGAGACAAGGTGAGAAATGAAGGGCGGAGGATCATATAGGAGCGGTCTGCACTGAGATGGAAGCATTTAAGACTGGCGATGTAGGCTGGAGGAGCAGCCCTGCGTCCCCCCACCCGCGGCGGTTGCCAAGAGCAGGTGCTTTTCAGAGAAGGGAAGGAGATGCTGCAGAAAGCAGCCAGGCAGTGATCCCTGCTCCCACTAGGTGGGGTGGGAAAACCGGCCTATGTGAGAAATGTGCCCAATATTCCCACTCTCCTTCCCCAAGCAAGCCTGGACCCTGCCCTGCCGAAGCCGCAGCTGTGGGGCCGCAGCGGCCACAGCACCCCAGGGACCCCCGTGGCCAGTTAGGCAGGGGCATTTGGGCACTGGTACCGAACCAGCAGCGTTAATAAAGTCCCTCCTGTCTAACTGAGCCCTGGTTCACGCACTTTTTAAAACATTCAAAGCTGCGACAAGGCTCGTCCCCAGTGCCCTGCAGGGACCCTGCGTGTCCATGGTGGGGTTCTCCATCAACCACTGATCCTTCCCGAGCCCTCTGACATTTCAGAGCAAGCCCGCAGCAGGCAATTTGAGGGGTTGAATACGTGTCACGTTAAAAAGAAAGCACTGCCAGCAAACAGATCTGGCCTGAGACCACAGGGCAGACAACGGCTCTTGAGGACAAGCAGAGACCCACCTAACACACAGCGCTGGCTCCTAGAGGGAGCCATCCACCGCAGGGGCAGGGAGCAGCTGCTCCATCACTCATCAGTCACACTCTGTGGGACTTCCAAACTAATTTGGGGATGAGGGAGAGCTGAATTGCCTTACTGAGCCTCCCTTGAGAAGCAAGGGCATCCTTTCTAGGAGTTCAGCAAAGTGTGCCTTGCCTGAAACAACCGCCTTGGGCCCTTCTGGCAATTATTTTCTGCAGTTGGAGGTAGCAAAGCCAGCTCCTGCCTCAGTAAGACACAGGGGAGTGTCGCCGATGGAAATGTGAGGCTTTGTTGCTAGGGCAGAGGTGGTTGTGGCTCAGCCAACAGCAAGTATGAGAAATGGTTTCTACATCAGCTTTGGGCCTGAGCACAAAAGACTCACTCTGCAGCCCTCCACCCACACAGCGGGGGGGCAGGGAAGAGAGTCCTTCTGATGTGGAGGACGGCCAGCTTATCCCTTGCAGCAGCGGCACTGAAGATTTATAGAAAAATGCAGCAACATGGGTTTTAATCAGTAAATGTATGGTAAGAAGCCACCAAGAGGGCATCCATGATCCTGATGGGTAATTTGCATCACTGTAAAACCCTCACTGAGAGCTATGGTCTCCTCTCCCCCGACACTGCCAGAGCACACAGAAAGAGGCAGGCACTACCCCGTGGAGCTTGCCATCTAAACAATGTGGATTACATGAGAGAGAAAAGCCAGGTGATTTTCTCTGATTTTTCTCTCCACCATGGCCATCCAGCGACACAAGACATCCATTAAGAGCCAGGAACTGCCACACAATCTCCCCCCTAATGCCTTCCCCAGGTGAGTATGATGGGTACTCAAACACCTCCCTGCAGTACAGAGTGCCCAGTAGTTGTGCCTTGTGCTTTTCTTCTGAACTCTCAAAAAATGTCACTCACAAGGCAGCCTGCTACTTAAATCCTCCCAGACTGTAGGACCCATCTTTCGGTATCATGGTTAGGTTCATTTTGCACAGATCCAAAAGCACACAGGACTCAATTCCAGCGTGATACTTTGTTCTGTATTCACCCTGGATTCACACTAAATTAATCAACTACACTCATCGTTTCAGGGTCTGCCCGGCTATGCTTTGTCACAATTCACCGTCCCTCTGTGCAAACCCCACATTGCAGAAACACAGAAAAGCCTCTGCCGTTTTTGCTAATGGAGAACACCTCTCCTGTCATGGGGACAAACAGTCCTGAGAACATTTGGCATGAGCAGTAGAAGACCTTGTTACTGAGGTGAATTTCAAAGGCTTAGACATTTCTGATGAAACACGCAGAATATCCCTGTTTATGCTGTAAGGAGAGAAACTGCAAACTCTTTCCAGCTCAGACCAGCTCCGGGGCTGCTAACTGTATTCTGGCCAGTGAAGTCCCTAATGGACTAAAGGAGTGTGAGGCACAGAGTGGGAGCCCTTCAGCCTAAATTCACTGTACTAGTGGCTGGGAAAACAGCTCCAAACTCTGAAACAGGAGGCCAGACTATCATAGTCTGGGCCAGGAACAGACCTTAGGGACATGCTTGTGGCAAGACCATGCATTGGTCCCTCAACCATGAACCATCCAAGTCCCATTGTGTTACCCCTGGATTCGCAGCACTCAGTGACTGGGGCTGTCACCGCAGCACAGCTGTTGGTGACGGACTGTGCTGGTTCTTGCTCAGAAGAACAGCTGCGATGACCACAAAGGTGACCTGATAAAGTTGGGGCACAGCTGCTTGCAAGAATTTAGCATATTGCTCGTGTCAGGAGTGCCAAAGGGTCCTGACATAGCAAAGACTTCATCCAGGTCCTCATTTTTCCTCTGTCCCTGGTAAAGAATGACATCCTTCACTAGCTCCAGCTTCCTGGTGTAGTGTCATCAAAGCAGATGGAGTTAAAGCAATATAAAAAACAGTGTTGTGAAAGATGGGGTGCAGGGAGGGGGTGAGTGAGACCATCAGCTTGGAAAATATGGGATGGAAGGAGATTTGAGGCCTCCCAGCCTCAGCCAGTGTTGAATCAGGGCTGTCATACTGGACTTGGTGGGCTTGGAGAACCGGGCCTCAAGGAGAAAGTCAACTAAAGAAACTGCATGATTGACACCCAGGATAAACCTGGCCAGCACTGCTTGCTGGCCTGACCTGCACACATGGGCAAGAGCTGTACCTCAGCTCTGGACACAAGGACTAGAAAGGCAACACTTGAGCAGTAATCCTGGGCTGAGCTATGCCATGGTGGCACTCCCAGGAGCAGCCTGTGCATTTGGAAGTTAGCAGTGGGAAGTGTACCGGGCTTAGTGCACTTCAGGGACACTTTTGCCACTGGCAGTATGGGCTAAAAGTCACTCGCAGAGGTTGCATTTCTGTTTGAGTCTTTCAAGACCGTCTGCAGTTTGACTTGCTTGGGGTTAACTTCATCACATGCACCAAGCTGTATTTTTAAACTCTGCTAAATTGGCACAAGTCCCCTGCACAGACAATCTTAAATCAGTTTCTTGGCACAGGCTAAATGAAAAGAAGCCACTTTAAAAGCTCCTAACTTCTGCACAGAGACAAGACCTATGACAGAGATTATGCTTAAGCCTACTGCCACTTAATTTGCTTGGAAGCAATGCAGCTGCAGCAGTATTCAGAAGTTCAGAGAAGCCCAGTAGCATGTACATCATCGGCAAAACACTTGGGCTGAGCCTCTGCACGCACGTGCTGGACATCAAAATGTTATCAGCGCTCTGAGTCTGGTGGTCAGGGATTAGTAAACAGTCAGAGGAGCTGATAACAAATTGCAAACTTTATAGCAAAGAGTGAGTTAATTCCAGGCTGTCGTTGCTACCATCTGCACTTCCAGAAAGACTTTGTCAGACATTTGGCAACCAATCCTTCTGAGTAGCAAAGGCAGCCGCCGCGCGTTGTTATGACCTATACAGCCCAGATTGTGAACTCTTTCCCACCAGCATAAATCATCCACCAAAGTCAGTGGATTTAGTCTGGGACATGAGACAAAATCTGCCACTTAGTTACAAACACAAAACACAGAATTTAATCAATTATCTTGTAAAATATCCTCTGTGAACATTACCATGCAGTCAAAAAGAAACTTTTGTGAGCTACAGAATTTTAGAAATAGTCCTTTCTAGGCTGCATGCCTTGGCTGGAAGTATTTTTGGCTTAATTAAAAGCTTTCAAACCTGTGGTGATGTCCATGAAACAGAAGCCCTCACAAACACAGAGGAATGAGATGCTGAGAGCAGTGAAAAATCTGTGGAAGCAAACGTGTCTTCTCACCACCTCTGAAAAGCAGATTTGCATGGTGAGTGCAGTCTGAATATAGCATGCCCATATTCCAACAGCAAGTCTCGCCTTCCCAGAAAGCAAGACAGCTTGGGAGGCACAAGCTGCAGAGCCAGAGGTGCGCAGTCTAGCAAGGGTGAGCATTAGATCCTTGACCGTTAATTCCTCTGCACATATCCCTGAATAAATGTGTGCTCAGTTTCTCTCACACAAAATGTCTCCTTCTCTTCATATTTTTTGCATACACCAGCCTTGGCATGCAGTCAAGAAAATATTAACTTCTCTGGCAAAAATCTACAGCCCCTTCTTAACAACACGTGCAATCCATTTCTTCCAGCCCCAATAGTATTCTTCCACCCCGCTACTCCCACACCCACATGGGCACTCATTTTATTCATCCATAGACACCCTCTCTTTTTCTTCCTCGTCTTCCTATAGTAAGGCGCATTCCAACTCTATTTCTCTGTCTCACACATATGCCTTGCTGGGCAGAGAGCAAATCGGTGAACACAAGCTAGGTATGGAAGCAGGGAGATACAAACACAGCCAGTCTGGACTTTCTCTTGGAGGGATTTCTAACTTGCCTGTAGGAGCGGATTTATGAACTAGAGTATATACTGATCAGTTGAACTGCTTGAAAGTAGTTCTGCATTATCCTGGAGCTGGGCTGGGATTCATCAGAAGGAGCTAAGCCATGGGGTGTGGAAAAGACTTAAGCTGCATCTTAATAACTGAAGTCTACAAGACCCGTATAGTTTTTCCTGCAAGAAGGCACGGGTCGGTCTTTATTTTTGGCATAACAGCTGAAAAGAACGGGGCAGCTGGGAAACAAAGTGAAGAACATGCCATGGTACACAGGCTACAGGCTCATCTATGCCATAGTAATGAATGATGGTGTTGTCTGTGCCCCCAGTCCCTGAGGAGGCTGGTATGTCCCTTCTTTTATTGACTTCTCAGTGGCAGACCTTCAATCACCAGCTCAGCCAGTTAAATGAGCAACAGCATTGCTTGCTTCTTTGCAGTGCAGGGAAATAGAGCCTGCCTTGTCCCTGTGACACCTTTCTGCAAGTTCCCCATTGTCCAAAAGGTGGAAAAAGTCTTTCCTAGCCTGGGATTTCTAGCTAAATCCTGCTCTTTTTGCTGTCAAGTGTTTCTACTTACAGTGATGGAAGACAGCCTTGGCTGGAAAAGTCGCATCACACACACAGACACACAGTGAAGATGGAGCCACATGACAGTTTCACATGATGGCAGCGCAACGAAGAGATGAATTTGCACACAGCAGTCATGGAGGTGATGCGGGAAAGAGATGAAGAAAGCACAAAAAGAAATGGTAATGAGCAGTGAGAACCCCCTCCCTTTTTCCTCACATCTCCTCAAGCAAAGACTAAATCAAACCGCAGCCATTTAGTATCCACAGCAGCTCCCTGCAGGAACACCAGGTCAGTCTGTCCTCCAGAAAAAGCACTCCCTCCTGTACCGCCACAAGTACTGCACTTGCTCATCTGACTCTTCCTCACCAATTTCTGCACGGGGCCACTCCAGTTACCCTGATGTGCGTGAAGCAGCAGCCAGGGCCGCATAGAGGACAGCTGCAATTTCTACCGCTGTCTCTGGGGATCCTCTCAGGAGGAGGTGAGTGGGACCTAAACAGTACCCAGACATCGGGCTGGTTTTCTGACTAGAAGGAAATTTCGCTTTCTAAAAATGACTGTTTCCCCATTGTGCCAGGAGAGTTCAGTGCAGAAGACTCAGCCCCACAGTTAGCAGGGAAGATACCACTGTCTCCACTAAAAGCACCATTAGTGAGGATGTAATAACAGCACCTACATGGCTGCACAGAGCACTCCTCACCTTTCCCTTTGGATCGCCTCAGGGCCATTAACACCCCCCCTGCCTACAGGGGCAGGGATGGGACTGCAGAGACTTCCAGGATGTTTTTAGCAGGCAGAACTGCAGCTGCAGGGCAGGTCACTGGATTTCAACCCAGACACATCCCTCTACTGCACTCAGCTGCTCTGTAATACCATGTGCCATCATCTTCTCTCTTCCAGAGAGGGTCCAGAAGGGCAAGTGAAGCCCCTCAATGTGTTACTTAACCTTACAGGTTTCTGGGTAGCTTCCTGGGACCCCTGCTCCAGCCCTTCTCTGTCCTATCCTGTAGGCTACCCTCAGAAAGGACTGGAAGGGAGCCCTTCCAACTGAAGGGCTTTGCAGCTGATGGTCTCTCTCAACCTACTGCATGTAGGGTGGGGGTCCTCAGAAAGAATAGCCTTCCCCTGCCCCAGCAGTTACCCTGAGGAAAGCAAGTAGCATGCTCCGCATCGCACACACCTCACCCTGATTGCTCTGGTGCTGCGGCAGCCTGAAATGGGGGTGGAAATGGGGGGAGACAGGGTGGTGGTGGGACCTGGAAGCTGGATTCCAGTGTCCGTGGAGGGAGGGGTGACAGGGCAGATGGCAGGCTCCTTGCACGAGGGCGGGCTTCCCCATACAGCTTCTTCTGCCACCAGTGGCTGTAACACTCACGTGCTGTGGGGCGGCTGGACTCTTGTGTACTCACCATCTGCCAAGTTGTCTGAGTGCCAGAAGCTACTCATGTTAAACTCCAAAAGGAAGCTGTCAAAAGAGCAAGAACAGAGGATGCTTTTTCAGCAGCCTGGAAGGGTGCAGGTGTCAGGGAGATGGCCCCGTTGCCTGGCGAGTATCAGTTCCAAAACATTTACTATGAATTTGCTGGCAGTGGCAGTCTGAGTTTGGGGTTTTTTTTAACTTTTTTTTCCTCTCCACATGATAGACTGTATCATGGGATCCGTACTGTGGAATATCTGAATGGGCTTTTTCCTGAAGTACATGAGGGGGCCTCACCAGCGAAGGAAGGAATGAGTACAGCAGCCCCTGGGGCTGGAAGGGGATTCAGTCACCGTGAGACCCTCCTGAGGAGCAGGCACAGGCCGTCAGGGAGCCCGTACTCTGGCTACTTGGAGGTAGGTGCACGTCACATTGAATTATTCTGTACCAATACGCTCAAGCCCTTGGAGCTGGATCTTTTCCACACCTCCCTTTTTGCACACCCAGCAAGCTGAGCAGCGGCACTTTCATCCTAATTTGAGCTTGAACTCTGATTCCCCCCAGCAGTTTGAGGTGAGCCTGAATCCAGCGCTTGATTCAAGGCCTCCCTTCTCTCTTCCCTTGTGTCTCACTCAGACCTGAGCTCCCTGGCTTCCTTCCTTCAGCCTTTGTCCCCTGTGAAACAAAGGTGTGCATTTGCTCATCACGGGCAAAGGAGACAGGCAAGAGGACTTGGCATCAAGGATCTGCACGGGGCCCCAGGAGACCCGAGTCCTATTTCTGACTCTGCCACTTTGTACTGAGTGACTTCAGGTAAATCCCAGACCCACTCTGGGCCTCTGCCTCTCAAAATGGGAATGGTAATAGTTTTCTGTCTCCTAGGAGCAAGGCGCTGAGCTGAATGTCAGGAGAAGGCTGAGAGCAATGCCCTATGCGGGGGCCTCTGCTTGCAGCTTTCTCAGCTCTTGCCCCGTTGGTCTGAGCCTCCCGAACACCCCCATCTTTTGGTACTCACATGAGGAAATCACTTATCAGCCATTTCACTGCAGCTAGAAAGGCATAAATTGGCTGGAGAACAAAAGAAGAAATGAGAAATACTATAAGGACCTTGTCAGAGAGTTTATAATTGTTATGCAGGACCCAACGTTTCAGACCAATTCCCTGACCAGAGCTCTCGAAGACAGGCTGGAAATTCAAGGTCTGGGCATCACTGGAAAATGTTCAAAATACATCAAAAGCCAGCAGAGCTGCCTTGCTACTAATAATATCTTCTCACCCCCTCCCCATCAGGGTCAGGGAGTTTATCACAAATGTATGAAGGACTTTGAAGATGTAATTGCTTGATGATTTCTCTCCAGTATGGACGACCTTGAGAGCTCAGAGCAGGAGAGAAACACAGCTAAATGGGACACCACCAGTTTAGGATGCTTTTATATTCTGATAGCAAGTGGTGTTTCTGGGACAAGCAACAGCATTGCCCAGGATTTAGTATTATCTGCCATTGATTGGTTATGCTTAACTGTGCTTTCATCCAGCTTTTCCTCAAGATGGCATGACTTCTATCAGCTTCCTGCTTTTCAGTTACAAATTGGAAATCCAGCATTGTCCCAGGGACAATTCAACTGCAGAGGATCCTGCTGCTGCTTTTCTTCATGGTAACCATGTCTAATTTTCATCTCTCCCTCTCATAATCACACTGTATCCTCAAACCCCAAACAGATGCAGCAATCACAGGACACAAGATAATGTTCCATTACTGCTAACTGATTTATCTTCAGCCAAAATAAGTCAGCAAATAGTGAAATGTAGAGATGGTTGGGAATTTGACTGATTTTTATGTACGTATATGAAAAATTGACTTTTCTTGATTTCTTCCTTTTCAAGGATTTCGCTAAGAGGGGAAAAGGACAGATGGAGGCTGAATGCTCACCTTTTTATTCTCTTCTCAATTCACCTAGGTTTTGGCAGCTCATATTTTGTGACATTTCTTTCAGTAATCAGAATTGGAGGATATGATCAAGCAAATATTTTCACTACAATCACAGTATTTTCTCTATCCAGCATAAATATAGCCATTGCAAAATGGACATATTGTTAAAAATGTAACATGTTGTTAAAAAGTAATATTTTGTTGAAAATTCTTTTACTGGAAAAAAAATTACAATGTCATGCTGCAAGAAGTACTTCCAGCACACCACATTTTAAAGTATCAAAACCCGATCATAACAGTAATAAACTCATCCCTGTTTAGGGTTGCTTCAACTAGTTTGAAGGGAACTGAGTGTTGAGTAGTTACTGAGTTCTGCCTGTTTCTGTCTGTTAGGGGCCAGGTTAGGATGGTAGAATGGGATTAGATTATTAGCTTGTTCTTGAGGTTGCATTTGGGTACTGGCAAAACTGTTCCCTCTGACAGTCTGTTCCCTGGGCTATCAGCATTTCTCTGACGCTTTAACCCCTCTCTCTGTTGCTCCAAGCCCACTCATTCTTCCCTGAAAGGCCGACAGCTTTCTTCCAGATGCTCTGTTCCCTGACAGTGCAACTCTCCTTTTTGAGCTGCTGAGTAAAACCATGACCTGTTCATTTCAGCTGCTCGCTGGTTCCTTGGCTTTTAGGAGAAGCTTCGCATACTCTAGTTCCTGTCCTCTCTCTGGTCCTTACGACTTTCAGTGAGATCCTATATGCCAATAGAGAGCCAAATCGTAAACCAGTCAGTGGCCATCACTGCCTCAGAAATCTGCCTTAGATGAGTTTGGACATTCCCATCATTTGAAAGCAAACATCTACTGAACTTTTTGGGGGAATGTGCTACATCAAGGTGTTGGAGATGTCCTAGGAGAAAGCCTCTGCAGCCAAGGCCAGAGACGGCTGCACGCCGACAGATACGTACGCTGAGCAGAGGCCGGGCACCGCTGTGGTGGTGGTAGGGTACTTTACACATTGCTTGATAATCATACATGGTCACCCTGCAATCAAAACAAAACAAGCAAACAGTCAAAAGCAAGCAATGCAACTCCCTATGGGGGACACACGTCAGCTTTTTCTAAAAAATTTCCTGTATGGAAGGACTAAAGCAGTGGCCTGCTTACACGTGTCATTGCTGTTTGGCCAGTGCTGGATCTTGCAAAGCGAGAAATACAGGCTCTGGATTAATGTAACTGGGTCAGTACAGGAGGAAATATGTCCCTAATTTCAAATGGTGAGTAAAGCAGGCTGTGAAGCAGGAGAATTATAATTGTAACTACCTCAGGTCCCCCTAGTTCCTGTTTTCAAGCCACTGAAACTCTGAACTCTCTTATGACATAGGCTGGGGGAGTGGAGTGAGACGAACAGAGGTATTTTTAGGAGAAAAAGAAATGTGCTCAGCCAGCTGCAACAGCACATCTGGGGGGCTCTCAGACAACCGCTCATAGAAGGGCTTTCCAAGTGGCAGAAGGAACTGAAGCACTTTATACCCAAAATGCCAAGAAGTGTTTCCCATAGCATCTTGCCCTGGAAAAGACAGAGGAGCAGCTGCTTTCTGGCCACATGGAGATCAGGAGTTAATGTCTCTCTAGGCACTTTGCAGCAGGTGGAAGAGCAGGAGATGAGGAGGAACAGGGTGCGTGGTGACAAGGGCTGAGCAAGTCAGGGGAGGGGGCAGGTAGCTAAAGGATCTTCTGTATCAAAGAGAGTCACATGCATCAGTATGTGCATTTTCCCCTGTTCAAGTGCTGCTTATGGGGACCAATATGCCTGACCCACACACCAGCTGAAGAAAGAGAAGTACAGTGCAGAGATCCCCCACTTACCGCCTGAACATGCCCATGTTTAGCAGCTGGGTCATTACTGAGCCATCCACTGCACCAAAAAATTTTCCAGTCTGCAAGCACAAGAAAGGAAAAAAAACAGAATAAACCGACAACAGTAAAATTTCCAAGTGCTCAATGGCTCCAGCCGATCTAGTCTGTCTGGAGGCCTACTACACATAACAAGTGTTTTATAAGGAGGTAACGCCGAGCTTTGTCCTTTGCCTGGCTGGAAAGCTCGAGGGAGGACTTCCCCGATTGCCAGCTGGGCATCCTGCACCGTTCCTACTGCACTTGGAAATGATGTAGCCCACGTAAGTCCCTGCAGCTTGTGACAGAAAAAGGCAGACTCTTAAGCTGCAGAGACCCAGGCACATTGATTCACTGGAAGCCTGGGCTCTCCTGTGGGTTTTTGTGAATCCACGTTCTCTGGATCTGAATGCTTGACTCTCTTTCACTTGAGCCTCTCTGCTAGCCCATGGCTACAGTGGCTTCAGAAGCCTCCACTGTCCTGCTGCCCTGCTGCCCTAGGTGAAATAACCCAGCATGCGTAAGTGTGCTGTACAGATTTATTTAGGTAGCAAATGCAATTTTACAACTCACTGCTGTGCAAGTTCTGAGCAGGCAGTAACCCAAAAACCACAACACAAACCAATCCATCCCTTTAGCTTACACACTATGCACTGGCCTGGCCAGAGCTGTTGCACAGGCTCCACTCTAGCAAAAGTTGCATTTTTGCAGGGGGCAACAACCTCCAAATCTCAACTGCATGCCTGGACTAAAAGCGGAGCTTGTGGCCCTCTGGTCCCATTTACGTTTTGGAGTCAATAACCTCAAGTACAGTCCCAATCCCAAATCTGGGAACTGCTGCTGTAAAGACTTCTTCAAACAAACCACAGTTCTGGCTTTCCTGATTACTAAACCATGACAAATCTGTTGCAAAAATGCTTCAAATCTGCCAAGTCCAGTGCTTTGTTTGCAAGCAAGTAAATAAAATACTCGTAAATAATAAGAGCGCAGATATGAGCTGTCCTTCGTCTATTTTCCTGGCTCATGGGTCCTGACATAGTAAATAGCTCCCATATGTTATGGAAGTGTTCACACAATTTGGGGGGGACATTTTACTTTTCCACTGATAGGCTAGCAGTCATTTAGCATGTATTAGCAGATGACAGATGACTTCATTTATTTGAGTGGGGCATTTCCACTAAAAAAACAAAACCCTTAGGCAGATTTACCCAAGATCATATGGTAATCATCTAACAGTAGTGTTACACGATTATGAGCCTCTTCTCAACAGGGTTTAGCAGGCATTTCACTGTATAAATTGATACATAACATCAACTCCCCTTCGAGCATTTAGGCTGTAATCATCTCAGACATAGTCAAATGTGCCTGAGCAAGCGCTAACTTTTTTCACCTCCCTCCTTCTTTCAATCTGATTAGGGTGGTGAGGAGGCCAGCTGCTTCCATTTAATACGGGTCTGCAGCCCCAGCAGGAGGCAGAGCAGTGGGATCTAATGCAGTGCAAGCTGCAGTTGGTGTGGCAAGGGGAGGGGGCCACTGTAGGACTGTAAAAGGGGCCTGCCCTGTCCAGAGATGCTGATGTCTGACCCAATTTCTCCAAGTAGGATGTCTTTCCTATAGGTACAAGTATGAGGGGTTATTAGTGTAATTGAGAGTAAGGCCTAGGGAATGTGTTCAGAAAAGCATCAGCAAACTGGCCTTTAGCATCAAATCAGACCTTCAAAGCTTGGTGCTGTTTTAGGTAGCCTGTGCAGGTAGTAACACAGGAAAGCATCACTTCGCAGAAACCAACGTGGTCCTGTACTGAAGTGGCATTTTGCAAAGCAGCTCTCATTACCACCTGCTTCCTCCAGTGGCTGGCTGCTGCTCTCCCAGACATCCCTCTGCTGTGTTTGTCCTAACTCCCAGCTCTGGGCAGGTTTCCCCAGGCCTTTGCGATTTTAGAGGTTCACAGTACAAAGCATCGCCTCTGACATCCTGTGTGACACATGCTGTATCACATCCCCCTGCAGCTGAGAGCATACAAGTACATATGCAGGCTACGCACAGGAAGAAGATGCATCCTGGAGCACCCATATGCCTCAAAAGCTACATCACTGCTTACAGACGTATATGCATCCGTGCTTTGCTGGCTCATTGAGAAATTTGCACTTTTGGTACACACAAAAGCTGTAGACAAGCAGAATCTGCTAAATGGGCCAGGCTTTGGGTGAGCAGGCAGCCCTTGCTTCTCCACAAGCTCTGCCCAGCCCTGGTGGGATCTTGGCCTTTTAGCTCCCACCCTGTCCCTGGAGTCCCACCTGAGCAGAGCTTGCAGACATACCCTGCAAGATGCCTCAGGGAGCAGGCAGCAGTCCTAGAGAAAGAGGTTTGGTGAGTGACGGGACATCTGGATGCAGCAGGCGGAGGGAGCTGGAGACCCATGATCCGCAGCTGTGCCTCTGGCTGGCACAAAAGGCAGCTAAAAACTCGGGGGTGGTTGTGGGCCCAGAGCTGCAAACATCAGCAGAAACAGCACCATAGCATGGAGCAGCCCTCTTGCCTGCCACTTACTTTCCTTTCCTGCCCTGCCCTAGATTGCCTGGTCCTCTCCCTCACTAACTGCCTTCTCCTGGCTCTGACTATTAACTCTTTGCTCCCTCCACGATGAGTCTGGATGGGGAGATTAGCCCAAATTAAGAGATTACCCATTCTTCCCCAAGTAATCCCGCAGGGAGCTTCCAACTCGCCACTCATTAAGATGAGTCCATCTTTCTTCCGTGGTGGCTTCTGGCTGCCAGCAAGCTTCCTGATGCCTTCAGACAGAGGTTATTAGAGTTGATTCCCTGCCCTGATCCCCCATCCCAAGGGCAGAGGGGAGCAGAGCCTGAGCCAGGCTGTCCTCACCCTGGTCCTGTGCGAAGCTGCTCTGGTTTCCAGTGTGGTCACCCAGGGAAGGAGGTGCGGGCAGCGGGCAGGCCTGGGCAGGCAGTGGGCTGAGCGCACCATAAAGCACCGCAGCCCCAAGGAAGTGAGTGGAGAGTTGGAGCAAAACATCTCAGAGCCCCCGGAGCAGGTCTCCAGCATCAGCTGCTCATCTGGGGGCTGTAAGAACACAGGCGCTTTGGCACCGCTCCGCTATTCTTAGCTTGCGCTTTGCCTTGGGAAGCAGGCGTTCTGGACACGACAGCTCCTTGGCTGCCTTCCTCGGGAAAGTGGGGATGCCCGTGGGGTCCTGCTTTTGCTGGAGCCACCACCGCCCGTGGGGCTCAGTGGGGCAGATGGCTCGCCTGTGCACCCTCACTCCTGCAGCGTCTGATAAACTCACTCCCATCCCAGCCGGTGCGGCAGAACAGGCAGTGTGCGGGCAGGCTGCCCTTCTCCCCGCTGCTGGGCTGAAATGCTGACCCAGGCAGCTGAGCCACTCTTGCTGGTTCTGGTGTCTGGTATGAGGCAGGGAGGGAGGGCAGCGAACTAGCTGACTTCTCCAGAAAGGCAAAATACCCACAAAAATCCAGGTATGGGATTTTTTTTGGCATTATGTTAAAGGACGCACTGAGGGAAGAGTGTGGGATGGGGCAGGGAAGGCCACATAGCAGCAAGTGATCCCATGCAGCAACATCTAGGTGGCAAGGCTATGAAACCCAGGGTATTGATTTAATGCTGCTGCTGTCCTGAATTCCCTGTAGGGTTTAACACTGTGGACACTCATAGTGCCATCAGGAAATAAAAGCAGTAACTGGGCCAAGATAAAGAAATCAGAAGAAAAGTAGTGGCGAACTCTCCGAGGTCAGGGGAGGTAACAGCTGGAGGAGATGACAGCTCTGGTGCCTGCCAAAATGCCTGATCTTGGAGGCATGTGGATAATCTTTATAATTTACCCAAATCTACTATAATGCCACGTTTCTGCTAGTCAGATCTTTCAGAGATGAGCTTTTGGAAAAACCCATTTTCCATAAGATGCAGGAAAAATAGAAACAGAACCCAGGAGGGTGGTGCTGAGGACAAACAGTAGACGTGATAGCTAAAGGGTGTAGTTCCCTTTATCTGTGGACACATGCCACAGGACTCAGTAAATCACCTTTGAAAATGCCATGGGGGTCAGAGGAGGAAACATCAATTCCTAAGACTACCAGCCCATCCTGGACATGTAGAAGGACCTGGCCTCCCAGAGTAGAGAGCCAATAAAACTTTACAGCATTTTCCTCCCTTATTGTTCAAGTTTTCTTTACTTTTCTTTTGGCATACCACGTCATTGAAGGGGCACTTTTCCTGAAATATTCAGTGTCCTGAGTAGGTCACTTTCCCGACAAAGAGTTGGTTATTCCTTGCAATATGCCCCTCTTCTTTTCTGTCTGTATGACCCCCTGGTGCCACTGTGTTGCTCATTCATTTTGCTTTGTGAGTCTCAGCAGTTCTCATTTTGGCCTCTCTGAACTTACTGTGTAGCTCCTGCAGAATTCACAATCTCACCTTTTTCTTTTGCCAGCCTATTCTGAATATGCTAACCAACACAAGTCCAGATGGGAAACCATGGGACTCATATAGCTGACGTTTTCCATCTAAATATCCATCTAAAAATTCCTCTTCTTTCTTTTCTGTCCCAGCTACTTTGAGATCAATGCCACTGCTTCACACTTCACTCTTTAACCAGAACTTCTTTAACAGCCTCTTGTAAGGGACTCTGTTCAAGGCTTTTAGAAAAATTGAAATGCAGTAGGTCATCCATTCTCCCTTATCTCCTGATTCACTCTCACTTTCAGAGAACTATGGCTGATAACATAGGTTTTCTTCCTTTACAGAAGCTGTGCTACTTGTCCCAATCACATCCATCGCGTGTTCTGTTACTTTATTTTTAATTTCCATTTCAACCTGTTTGTCACATCTTGAAGAAAGTAATTTCTGGGATCGGATCTACTGCCTTTCAGAAATACGCATACAGTATTTGGTAACTCCAATACTATGGCAATTTTAATGAAACTCTGCACTTCTGTCAGTAACAAAACTGCTTCATTTCCCATTTCTTCTTTAAGCCCACACTTGCTATTGACTTATTGCTTTGTAGTTTATGAGGCTGTTCCAACATGTCACTTTCTGACATCCAAATCTATGACCTTTTATTATTTTGAAACAAATAGCTCTGTGGTGAATTTACTGGAGAGCAGAAAAGTATAGCTAAACCATGCAGTGGCGGGTAGTGTTGACTTTACCCAGGCTGTATGGTATGTCGCATCACAAACTGTGCCCCTTCAGCTCCCTAGAAATGGTTGTGGAGGCACTGGCAGCAGGAGGAAAGGAAGCAACTTTTGTTGCTTATATTTTTATTACCATTCTGAGTCTTTTTCCTCACTCGTTTCAACTCTGCGAGTCCAGTAAATCCTCCAGTTCTTAGGCATGCTCCTGTTTCCAATTTGCTTACATGTTTTTTTTCTTCATTTTTGCCTTTGGCATTTTGCTCTTACCATCCTCTCAGTTTCCTTTCCTGAAGAATGCCTGCTTTGACTTCAGAGGCGCTCAAAAGCGCTGCTCCCTTCCCTTCCCTTCCCTTCCCTTCCCTTCCCTTCCCTTCCCTTCCCTTCCTTTCCCTTCCCTTCCCACGTCAGGGCACACCTGCCTTCTGGGGCTGTCTCAGATCATCTTTCAGTAGCATCTGTGCCGAGGGAAAGGAGTCTAATTTCCTCACTTCTGATAAAAAGATATTTTGATTAGTTCCTTCCTTATCACTGCAAACTCCTTCCTCATCTAGGATGTGCTGTCACTCTGCCAGGAGGCTTCCCCCTCACTGCACAGCTGAATTTAATTACACCATGGCCACCTTTATTACACAATTGAACTTCATTTGTTTTAACCAGCTCTGGTGGGTTATTTAGGAACAAGCTAAGCCGCTCTCCTCCTTCTCTTATGCTCTCTTACCTCTGCAGGTCTTTTGGAAACGAGTATAAAGCCGTTGTTATCAACGAGGAAGCAATTCAGAATCTGCAGAGATGAAAGAGAAGCAACATTAAAGACAGCTTTTTCCATGGCTGTCTGGTACACAACCACTGTGTGCAGTATGGAGCGGTGTGGGCTTGTGCTTATGGCAACAGTCTTGGCATTTCCATGCCTAGCCCCATGGCTCAGCTACCATGGGTTTTACACGATTGACTTTTCCTTCTCTGCCTCCATTTTGAGGTATTTAGTTCGTGAGCTGTCTGTGACAGAGATTGTCTCTTGCCAGGGGTGTGTGCAGGCCTAGCAGGCTGTGAGCCACACTTAAGAAGGCAAGGCATCCTGCAGGAAGAGACAGGATATTTGGAGAGCACTTCTCTTTAATAAAATGGTATCTAATGCTTTCCATCTTCAGATTTCAGAGTTTTATAACCACTCATGAAAATAACCCTCTCCTCACCACTGAGCGCCAGTGCTGGTCTTACTTTTATTTTGCAGAGCAGGAAATAGAGGCACAGTGTTTGGATGAAAAACTTTAGGTCTCACAGGGAAAAGCTAGGATGCAGAGGAAATCCTACATGAACATAGAATGAAAATTCTCTGGTGATCCCACTGTCCTGTCCCAAATATGCCTGAGACCAAGTTTGAAGCAGTGGCATATATGCAAAGAGGGGTGTTTAGCATGCATGTCATGCTGACAGCCACTCTCTTTGGAAGACCTGGGATGCCAGTGAGACAGCCTTAGAGGAGATGGACTCTCCTTAGAGTCACTGGCTGGAATCCCCATGCCCCTGCCTGACATCTCACAGCTGAGGGGAAGACCTAAACTGCAGGTTTGTCTCAACAGCATAAGGTCCTGCCTCAGCTGTGCAACTTCTCGTGCGGAGACAACAGGCAATACCTTTTTTGTGGGGGAGACAGAGGTCTCCACAGAGCAGGTAGTCAATCACACCCATCACAGGTACAGAGAAGAAATCTGGGCAACTTACATCATCCTGACAGCTTAGCGGACAGGCACCATCCAAGGCACTGCACTGGAAAGGAAAAGCAGGGAGTTAACCATGGCATGATCTCATCTTACAGTCTCCCCCTTGGGACTGCCGAGCTAAAGCATGCCATAAAGCTCCGCAGTTTAGCTGCCATTTCTATCAAGATGAGCTCTAGAGCATGCACAGGTACCATCCCCGCAAGCTGCCCACTCAGTGGCTCTGCATACTCCCCACCTCTCTGAGCAATGTCTCCTTTGCTGAGGGCTCTGATCCTGCACCCGCTCCCTGATCGCTTCCATCAGTACCTATGCACTTTGAGCAGAGACTTGTTAATGAAGGGGGCAGTATCAAGCTCTCCGGCTACGAAAGCAAAGGTTATTGTGCACCGGTGAGAAACCAGCATGCATTTCAGCATCTGCTCAGATCTGGACTAAACACATGGCATGGTATTTTAGATCAAGATTCTTCTCAGGCAGGGATTTTTTTGTTGTTGTTGCTGTTGGTTTCTTTATTCTCCAGACAGCTAATGATAAAATAGGATGTGAATGGTGCTTGTGTAGCCCAAGGCACCATCCATTTGTTTCATTTAGGATTTCTGTGTACTGGACTTGACATGTGTTTCACAACACTGAACTGGGTGGGGACATGAGGGGTTAAGTGGTGAGTAACAAAGCCCTTCAGGTGCTTATTGATTTCATAATTGTTCCGAGTTTGCTGTGGCTGCATGTGTCTGTCTCTTTGTGTTATTTTTTAATGCTATTTTCTCTAGCAGTGGAGGGAAGAAAGCTGACATGGTGTTGCCATTTCTGTACACGGGGTCCCCTTCCTGCCAGAGGTTTTCTGGGGTCAGGGAAGGACACTGATGTGTTGCGTAGCCTGTCTGCTCTCAGCCAGCTGCCCTTTATTTCCAAAAAACCCTTATACATAAGCCCCAGCCCCCTTTCTGGATGATTCTCAGTAACAAGAGGTGAATTTGCCATTTCAAACCGCAAGACGACCATTACTTTCAGTTAGAATTTATTTCTCCTCTTGAGTTTTGCAGAATAAACCCAGTCGTTTCAGGTTTCCATCCCTCTGCTCAACTTCAGAGGAGGCTTGTAGATGCCTGAGTTTGTTTCAAGCCCCATGGCTTTGCAATATTGCATGCTCACGCTCCGACTCCAACTGGCTTTTTGAGGTTCTAGGGATGATGGTTTAAAAACATCCCTCTACCCACAGTTGCAAGCATTGTCTTACCCCTGCCTCACCACAAAACAGCATTGGGTTGTTTTGTCTCCCTGATGTATGCAGAGAGGTGGCCTTGTACTTCATCCCTGGTAGGTTCCTTCCTTTAGTCAGCAGAGAAATATGGCCACAACAAACCACAATTATGGCCTTGGAGGATAACAAATACAGAGCCCAGAGCTTGGAAATCAGAACAGAAACCCAGGTGAACCAGAGTGGCTTCCCACAAGAAGGGGCTGTGTCTCACAGCATCTTCCTCAGCAGTGTGAGGACGGAGTCTCGCTGCCGCTGCTCTTCCAGACCTGGAGAAGGTCCGGCAGTGCCTGGTGCTGCTCTGGCCATGCAGCAGTGGGACCGTGGTGAGGAACCTGGTCTAAGAGCACTGGCAGCTTGCAGGGAACCCCTGAGCAGGGCGCAGAGCTGAACCTGAGCTCCCTGGTTGCTCTGAGACCACATCTACTGCCTTACGGGCACAGCTCCCTCCTCAGAGACCAGCCTACTTCACAGCATCCTCCTGCTGTTGGTCAGGTCTCTGAAACACTGTGACCCAGAGCACTTTCAGCTTTGCCAAAGACACTTAATTACTGTGAAGACAAACACAGCGTACGACAGGCTTGGACCGACTCCAGTGACTACAGACAAGGGACCATGCCTATAATATGCTGGCACACAAACGACACAATTACGAAGCCAAGCTGCGGTGAGGCACGCCGGGATGCCTCCCTGTCCCCAGCTTTTGTCTACTTACATCACTGTCATTGGGCTGGGAGACGGGAGGCACAGCATGGATGTCCAGAGTGGCACAGCATGCGGTGAAGCAGGGGAGAGAGAGAAAACAAAATCTGTTAGTCATTCCTCTGTCAAACGGCGGTCACGTCCTGGAAACCATATGCAGGCTTTTTTCATACCAGCACCTACCAGGGTTGTGGCATGCAGGCGCTTGGCACACAGGCCTCCTTTCAGCTTCTTTAATAAGCCTTCCCACTTTCACTGAACGCCCATGTGGGCTTGCTTGTGTGAGAGCTGCCTGTGTATGGCCCTCAGGAGATTTTTTAAAATGAAGCTCTCTGCTGACCCTTCAGGATGTGCTTACGTGCTTTGCAGAAGTCTTTTTAGCTCAGGTTAGATTTACGTGATCTCCCACTTGCAAGGATGCTCCTGCCAGCGCAGCCAACTCTGGGCTTTTCCATTCCCCACGTGTTCTCGCTCTCAGCAAGCAGCCTCCTGCCCTCCTATCTTCTCTGTCATTCCTGTCTGATGACAGGTCCCTCTCCTGACAGCACAGAGTCGCTTTTGCTGTGTGCTGCTTCGGTCCTGTCAATCTCACCCCTCCAGTATACCTCCCTGAAAGCAAAGCCTGGGGGGAAAGACCGTGGGTGGTAAGGGAAGGGTGTTTCACCTTTCCTACCTCTCAGACTGGGAGGGACTGTTTTAATTATTCCACTTCTCTCAGTCCAGCAACAGTGTCCAAAATCAGGACAAGACTGAAAGCTTATCCCTGGAGCAAATAATTTTTATTTTGGCAAGCTGGTAGCGTTTTGTTACTGTTATCAAGATGATAAGAGAGGGCAGTAGATTTTTCTTCCATGTGCCCAGAACTGCAGATTTCCATGAGGTTTCTGAAAGGCTGAATGAGCACAAACATATTTCCACAATTAAATGTGTCATATGCAGCAGAGCTAATGCCAGGCCAGGATGCTGACACTGTCAACATGGCATTTGCGGAACAGACTCGCAGCTCACATGGCATTAGTGCCGTCAAAGGATTACAGAAATGTGTGACTTCAAACTAATCATCTACTTCATAAATCTTTTAATATGAATTTCGCAAAAGCCCTCATCAAAATGCCATCATATGTGATGTAACATAGCATCAACCTAGCTGATGAAGAGCATTAAATTGTCTCTCTGCGTGATTGCTGATGCTCCTACCTGTTGCATGGCCATCCAAAACTTGCGTTGGAGCAACTCCAGCTTAATTTGCACACCCACCGCTTTGGGAAACAAAAAGGGGGTGGAGGATGAAAAGAGGAATGTGCAAGAGAGAGAAAGACAAACACAAGTTAGGAAAGGAGGAGTAAATATTTGCCCGAAGTGATAGGATGGAAATCGCAATTGCAACCTGCTTCCACATGTGAATGATAAGCATTGGGGGATCAGCGCTGAGTCAGACTGCCAAGTGAGAGTCACAGGTTTAACAAGGTAGAGGAAAAGGGGACACCAACTGTACTGAGGTACTGACACCTCCCTCCCACTAAACACTATGCAGCTACAAACAAATTAACAAAAAAACCCACAAAAAAAACCCACAAAAAAAACCCAAGAGAGTGAGTGCATGAGCTTTCATTTTTGTCTTTTGTAGATTTGCCTGGCCAGAGTGGATGTTTCTCGTCACCCCAGCCTCATGTCCTGCACCACACAGCATCAATCAGAAATAAAGTAGGTCAGTGTGAGGAAGGGATTAATTCAAAAACCCACCTGTCTCAAGGGGAGACCACAGTGATTTAGATTGCTCCTAAGCCACTACAAAAGCACAAAACCATGAATGCCACTTGACAGAAAAATGTCGTTTAGAAGTAGTGCTTTGTTACCTGGTCCCAGCCTAGCGCATGCTGGGCTAAGCAAAAGTGTGTGTGTGTGTGTTTCTTAATTAAGTGCGTCCTAATTTCTTGGCTTAATTTCTCTTGTATTTCCAGCATCATGTTCCTGAAGTAAGGCATAGCTCCACAGGAGAAGAAACGGTGCAGGGTCTCCCCGACAGAACAACCTAGCTGTCCCTGGGTAGGTTGCCTACAAGCAGACGTAATAACCAGCGCAGTCGTGCGCAGCCTGGCATGGTGACAGGGAACAATGGGGCTGCGTGTCGACTAGTTGAATCCAAGAGCTCTGCAGGAATTACAGCCTCAAGCAGGACCTTGAAATAGACTATAAAGTGCAAGTGAGGGAGAAAAAGAAGTACAGAGAGAAAGAGTTTGAGCCTTTTTTCACAACCACCAATACCGGGCGGATGAAGTGTTTCTGTTTCTACAGATTTCCTCTGAATTAGCAGGAGTTTCAAAGGGGGGAACAGATCCTTTAAATCTGAATCATGCCGTGTGGGTGCTTTTAAGTTAACAGTATGATCTGATGCTCTAATTCAGATGGGTATGAATTAGAACTGGAGCATGCAATGGTATATTTTCTTGCAGCATATACATGAGACCCTGGCACTTGGCATCAGCTCTGCCTTTTGTACCAGTGTCCTTGTCACATTCCCACTGCTGGTACATCTTACAAAATACCATTCACGGGCACATTTCTTATCCAGCTCCCCCTGCTGTAGACTGAATCTGACTGCTTGTACGTGGGGAAAAAGAATGATTTTGTAGCGCTGCCATGCCCTAAGCCTCACAGAGCACAAACCAGACAAGACAAAGAATGCAAACAAAGGAGGAAGGATGGGGCTGAGTCCAGCCCTGGTGAAGATTCATCAGCTTCAGCAGGGCTATTGCAGGCATGGTTTGGCTTGGTGCCCCTGCTGACAAATCGGCGGTCCATGACAGAAGGAAAACGGTGCTGTTGCTGCTGAGTCCAATGAGGCCCACGCATCCGATTTGGTATGTAGCTTTAAATAAATTCATCGTTATCCTTTAAAACCATCTCAAGAAAGTTATTCTCCTTATCACAGCAGATCACATCAATGGGACTGAGCATTACCCAGGACATAAGAGTTCTTATGACACTTGAAGAGGAGTTGATACCTACATAACTAACCTTGCAATGCAGAGACTTACTGAGTGGCTCATGTTTTTGTCAGCAGGAACACCTAGCCTCAAATTGTTCTTCAAAGGGAGCTTAGCCCCTGGTTGTGAATCCTTGCCTCTGCCCAGGAGGCATGAGTAGCATGTACCAAACTTGGACAGAGTTGCCTGCAACATGAGGAAGAAGAGTACCTGGGGGCTCGTACTGGTGGCCAGTGGCAGGGACAGAAAGCAGAGTCTCCCAGTTCTCTTCTTCCTCTTTCCACATCACTCACAGCCCTGTCTAACACATCTGTGCCATCTGTCAGCAAGCCTTGTCCTTTGGATGCAATCTTTGCAGCCCTAACCTCTCCGTAGGGCCTGCGCTTATTCATCTTCTCTGCACTAACCCTTTCCTTCCTTCCCAGCAGTCCAGCATACTTTTCTAGCTATTCCCCACGGAGCTGCAGTGAGCACCTCTCTCCTCACATCATGGCACAGTCTGAACAGGTCATTGAAAGCAAAGCTGGGGGCTATTCTGCCTTGCAGCCAGATTTGTCTGTCTGGACGGTACCCATCACAGGGAACCATACTAGAGGGATTGGCTCCATGGTTCTGCCTGGCAGCACCACTCCTCGCCAGTCGGTGTGGGTTGGAAGCTCCTGGCAAGAGCTGTGAGAAATTTCCATGCATTCAGGTGACCTGAGGAAGACATGGGAGCTGAGGAGGAACAGGCCACAATCACTCTCCCAGTGCTAGTAACAGATAGTCACCCGGCTGCCTTCAGGCTGTTGGTGAGGCTGGGGAGAAAGGAGGAAAACAGTGATTCAGTCTGAGGTAAGGATGATGCCACAGCTCAGGTGAAAGGGAGGAAACTGGAATAAGCCCCCTTCTGCTTGTTCCAAAGTATAACTGATCGTTAATGAGCCTTTTTTCTCTGGTGGCAGAGTATACTGTAGGAGTGGGAAGATCCGAGGTCCGTGAAATGATCAGTGGCCCTGGTGTGCATCACAGCAACAACCGTAGAGTCCTCAGAGAGACCATGGCTAATAGTTTTATTCCTACTAATGTGCAAACAACCTGTGCAACTGTAGCATCCCAGCAATGAAATAAAACATGAGGACAAGCAATGCTGCACACCCTGCAGTTAGATGTTGCTTCACCATGTCGATGAACTACCCAGACCTGTGCACAACTTCCCACCAGCAGGCACCCTGCCTGCAAACCCAAGCAGTGCCCGCTGCATGGCTGCGGTTGGCTTTCTCCAGAGTTATGTGCTGCCATTCACTGTGGAGATAAGAGCCTTCCCCTCCACCTGTTCATCCCTCTGTTGAGCATGTCTGCCTCATTAGCTCATCCTCTGCTTGTCTCTCTTTCTGTCTGCCTTCCCTGGCTTCTCTGATTATCCATATGCTATTCTTATAAGGAGCTTTCCCCAAGATTTAATTCTTGGGCCTGCCGCATAACAAAAAGGCATAACAAAGAGTTGCAAGATTACATCCTGTAGGGTGCTTATCAAGATGTACCTTGCCATTCACAATCTGTTTTCATGGCAGCCGGTCCAATGGTTAAATAAACCCCACGATTCAAATGGAAGAATGTGCCAGAGCAGCAGAGCAGCCCTGCCCACACCATCCATTTGCATTCCCCATTCCATATTTCTGAAATATTCCTATTTTCTCTCTCAAGCCAGCAGCAGAGCTGCCCCACTCAAAATTTTACTTGAAGTCCCCTAGAAATTTTACTTAAAAGATAACTTCCAGACGAATTCAAATTAACAAAAAGCCCAAACCAAGGGCAGCCTGCTTATGATACTGGACCTGACAGAAGACGCAGTTCAAGTGGATCAGCAAGAGTCATTCTTGCAAACGTGAGCTACTGAGGTCCTCAGCAAGCTGGAGGAAGGCAAGTGAGGGGTCTGATTCTGGCAGGGGCAGGCTGCAGGAGCCCACGGGATAGCACGGAGGGAAGCCTGACAGAGGCAGTGGGCTGGATTCGGGTGCTTCCCCAGGGCTCATCCCTTCTCCTCCTCACGCCTTTCTCTCCGGGTTTATTGTCATCAGCCATACCAGGCAGGGGAGAGATGGAGGGAGGGGAGGAGGCGTTCAGCTCCGTGCCTCCTCTCATAACCTGTGCCTGACCAATCTGCCTCCCGAGGGGCTGTAGGGAGCTCCCCCGCCCTGGCATCTCCTCACCCCTCCCCGGCACCCGGAGAGGGATGGCGGCAAGGGGGGGAGGAGGGAGAGAAAGGGACTGACAGCAACTGCCCTTTCTCTAGGAGGGGTCGAGAGAAGGGAAAACCTCCCAAGCTCCTTCCCTTGGGTGTTTCGGAGCAGACCCTGCTTGCCTGGCAGGGTGACTCCTCTGCACCGTCTCTGCGCGCTCCTGTGCGCGTGCTGCTGCCATCGCAGATGTACCCCCAGCTGTCACTTCGCTGCGCGCAGTCGCTCCCTCTCCCGCCTCTCTCTCCCTCTCCCTCTCCCCTATTTATTATTTACGGAGGATTACAGTCCCTTTCCCACGCTGCCATCTCGCCGTGTGGATCCTCTGCCCTCCACGCAGGGTGAGCGGCTGGCTAGGAGGGGCTCCTGCCAGCTAGGGTCCACCGAGAGCCCAGCCGGCAACGGAGGGACTTTCTGCTGGATTTGTTTTGGGATTGTACCGTGTTCGCTGGAAGAGCTGCCGTTCTCACAGGAGGGTCCATCCCAGCCTGAGAGAGGTAAGTAATGACATCTCTCTTTTGTATTCCCCCCCGCTCCCCAGCTATGCGAGATCAGTGGAGCTGCCCCCCAAGAACCGGCTTCCTCGGGGAGCAGAGTGGTGGTCAGGGGCAGCACCGTCTGCCAGACAGCACAGTCCACAAATCCCAGTTGTGTGAGGTTCACGGGCAGCGATCTTCCCCATAAGGCAGGATGACAACCCTGCCGCAGAGGCTGCTGGTTCTGGTTCCAGTCCAGTTTCAGTGCAGGCATCTGGGAGGAACTTCTCCCAGCTGTGAATGGCACCAATGTCTTTCATTGCAGCACGGGCAGCTCAGGTGAGGCTTTGAGGCTAAGTGCTTGCTGCTGTAGTCACCGGGTACCAAGCAGCTTCTGGTGAGCCCTGGCTTTTGTCCTCTCCTCCGAGCTGTGAGAGGGGTCGGCATGTGAGGTGCCACTCACCTGACCCATGGTGGCTTTGCTGGGTATCATTTTGGTCTCAGCTGTCTCAGTAAGAACAACCTAAAGTGGAGAAGTGAGGACCAAAATTGAACAGGTCCAGCATTCAATATACAA